TCAGGCGCGCCTATTCTCTAATAGGGCAGACTGATCCGGCCCCGATCTGGGCCCTGGCAAAATTTCTTGCACGGGTGGCGTTTCTATTCTATCATAAAAGGTTTTTTTTTTTTTTTTTGGAAAATATGATTTAAATTAATCAATAAAAAAAAAATGATAAGCGTTTCTTTCAAATATTTCCATATTGGAAAAATGTGTATACGAGTTTAAAATGTCATTTTCATTTTTATCGCACGTAATAATGAAATCACATTTGAATATCAAGTGTGATATGAATGCCGACTTCTTTATATATTGACGAAAAAAGAACCCTATTTCCCCTCTCGGTATATACTTGTCCCGGGAGATATTTTTCCTTTTTTGGGAAAGTGTTACAAGTTACTTTGAAAAGGTTTCGTCCTGTTCCACTGTCGCGCGTGAAATACATAACCTATAGCTTGAGGCTGATATCCAGGTCGTCCTCTCGCCCCCATCATAGTCCCCTCACCCCCTTAGACTACGTCATTTCCTTAAACCAGTAGATATCCTTAGGCACATCTGTGGACGAATATTCGAGTATATGGAGGGACAAAATGCATATATATATATATATATTGTGGAAGGAAGCCTGATAAAGTAGTTTCAAATTTTCAACAAAAGTTGTTAAAAAAAATTTTTATAGGGAAATATTTTTTCAATCGTAAAAGAAACTTGGCAAAAAAAAAATTTTAATTGATCAATTCTTTTGCAATAAGAGAAATTAATTTTTTATTAAAGTCCTAAAAAAAAAAGTTTATCTCAAAATTGAAATTCAGTTTTGGATTTGGCACAATTTTTTTTAACCATAAAGCTTTCAAATCTTAGAAAATTTATTTCTCAAAGAGAAAGAAATATATTTCAAAATCTATAAAAATAAATAGAAAACTCGATTGTTTGATTTATTTTCGAGTCAATATTTTTTGATATTCTATATAAAATAGATTGAACGTGAAATTGGCACAAGAAGCACTTCCTGTGTCTCTAGTTTTGTATTTTCCCTACCGATGTTTATTCAACTCGCTATACATCTATATATATATAGCGAGATAGAAGTTTTCAGTATTTCTGCCATTCATTAAAGTAAATGAAACTGGAATGCAAAGAACTCTTACAGTTCTAGAAATTTATGAGAAACTAAAAGGTACCACTTTATCACCATTTGGTAAAAATAGGAAAAGGAAATTAGTTTGGTTAGATAGATATATATATATATAGTATACAAAATATAGTTTGGAAAAAGAAAACTTGTAAAATCAATTGAAAAGTTTTCTTTAAAAAACTTTCAGTGAAAACTTTATATATAGGAGTTTGGAAAAAATTTTCGTGAATATATTACTATTGCCAATGAAAAAGACATATTTGGAAATAGAAAAAAAAAATTGAAAAGCCCCAAAAATCAATTTTTATTTGACACTTTATTATGTAATTATTGACAAATTAAGAAATCAATATATGACAAAGGATTTAATTATATGTTGAACAATAAAACTGAAATTACTTACGGACATTTAAATTAAATGCATATCTAATTTTGAACCTAATAGTATTAAATTGCTAAGCTCCGAAGACGATGAGAAAACGACGATAATTCAATCTAAATAGAAAATGGGTTATATATACCTAATATTGCAACTTTACTCTTACAAATGAAATAAAATTATCTACTTTCAGAAAAAATAATTTAATTCTAAAAAAAATTGAACGCATAAACTGTTAGTTATAAACGAATCACGATTAATTTAAAAAAAAAAGTCTATTTTTAATTTTTTGAAAAATATAAATAAAAAATCACGAATTTTTTTTTTTGTCGAAACGAATTTATTTTTTTTTTCCAGAAAACTTCCAATATTTTAGTTTATATATTTTTTTTTAATTTTTTAGAAATTACTTTTATTTTTGATAATAAAACTATATGACTTCTGTACAGAATGTCTGTGAGAGGAAAGAAAACCTTTTATGCCCAGAAGGGAATTGCAGAAACACGTTTAATAACTGACTTTGAAATATACCTAAGGGCACTCGATACAATTTTTTTTATATTTGATACAAGAAAATAAAAATTTTGAAAGGTGATTAAGATTTTAGAAAATATATTCTAAAATATAAATAGAAAATATTTTTGTAATTTAAAATTTATTTTTTCCTAATTTTAACATTTGGAGCAGATCTGATTTTCAAATTATGAATTATCCCAATAGGGAAATATTTGCAAAATTAACTTAATTCTCTCTCTAAAGAAAAGTAAATATTTTCTCCCAAAAATAACAATTATTTCTCCTTTTATAAATATTTAAAAAAAAAAAAATTTTTTCTGATCCTCTATATTCCTTTATTGAAAGAACAACACTTAAAATAGATGATTCAGTGGATCAACTCGGAGTTGATTAGTAAATAATGTAACGTCAATGCATGAGTATAGAATAATATTTTCTATTTTCCATGTAGTAGGTTTATTTGCGCTGATGTTTGACCCAGTTCACATGAATGAGATGCATAAATATCGATTTGTTAGTCTTGTTTTTTTCGCGAACCTCAATATTCCAACTGAGAAATATCCCAGTCTTTGACGAATAGCGTGTAATATATATATAATATATATATATATACAAACAGAAGAACTGATTTGCAAAGCCAGACACCAAGTTTACATGGAAAATATACCTTGCATTACGCGACAAGGTGGATCACAGACTCGTATTTACCCTCGAGAACGATGAAACAATAGTCTCCTTTCTCTCTATTCTTTATTCGTATCGCTTCCTCACACGTCAACGTATCTTATATATTCTATTGTGATAACGTCAAAATGATTTCAATCGATTTGCAAGACTTGCGAAATTAAAGTAGGTGCTTCTATTCTCATCTAATTCAATAAAAGGTGTGGCAAAATCAACGATGATGTAAAACTTAGTTTTTACATTAAGTTAATGAAACATCTTTCTTGACAAGAGATTTTTTTTTTCGACAGCACAGAAATTTAAGCCCACAATCTTTTTTTTTTCTATTTAAAGTAAGAAAAATACACAAATATTTTCTGAGTAAATTAAATTTTCTGCCTAAAGAAAGGAAAATAATTTATTAGAAAATTATTTTTGCAATAGATTGATTAGGTTCTCAATTTGTGTCCGACGAATCCGGGTTCGATCCCATACATCTTCAATGATTTTTATTTTTATTCGTATAATATTGTTAAAAAACAAATTTCAAATTATATTAGCATTAAAAATAAAAATTCAATCAAAGGATTCGTATTTAACTTTAAACTTGTAAAATTTTCGTTCAATTATTTTTCCATGTTTGAGTATATATTTATCGACTGTAGGAGATAAATTTTTTTTTTTTTTTTTTTTAATAGAAATTTAAAAATCCGAAGATCTCACATTGTGAGATAAACAGAACTATATAACAGTGAACAAAGTCACAACGAAAATCATTTTTTTTTTTTTCTTTTTAATCAGATCTCAAAACATCGAAATTCGTTTAAAAAGCGGAAATCGATTTTCAACACAATGCCATCAGCACCTTTTCATATCAAAAAGTAAAATGATCAAACTGATCTAGGAATTAATTCACCTTTTAATAACCTACTGTAAAAGTACCTTTTAAGAAATAAACTATTTTTAATTATTTCAATTTTTTAATAAAAAATTTTCCTACAAATGCAGTTATCTATACCTATAAAGAGAAAACATTTTTTTAATTCAAAACCAAATAATATCAAAAGAAACAATGGTTTTATTTAAAAAAAAAAAAAAAAAAAAAAAGTGTTTTCTCATTTTTGAAAGAATTTTTTTCAAAAACAATGTGATGAATCTCCTATATTACAATCAGCATTTCAATTTCAAAAGCATGATTACCTATTAAATGTTTCATTAAATTGAAATTGTTATCGAATTTTAAAAAAAAGAGCCCTGTGTCACAATGTCGTGTATACAATAATCGTTTAACAATAGCCAGTAAATCTGAATTATTTCGAAGTGAAATTGTGGTAGCGCGCAATGTAGACGTGATCGACAGACTAAATTATTCAAAAAGCGGCTTTTCCCTCTTTAAAGCTTGAGCTTTTCGCCATCCCAGCCTGACTATATGATGGGGGCCGTGACTCGAGAGGAAGGGATGTGGGTTCCATTCATACTTATTTCAGGCTCATTGTAACCCTCAATGTATTCAGCTTTTGCCTTGCATCTCACGTTGCCACTGTGTATAGAACAAAAATGGACATATTTTTTTTCCACTGAAGAGACTCAAAAACTATCATGGAAAACAACATTTTATTAAATTAAAAAAAAAATAGTTTTTTTTTTTAAATTTTAAATTAAATTTTAATGAAAAAAAAATGATTCATTTTTAGAAAATTAAGATTAATGAGGTTTGTTTGACTCTCAATATCTTTGACCTATTTTTTAAATTATCTTTGGCCAAATTTTAAGGGGCTTTAAGATTACCCGTGTGTAGAAATTGCCTCATTAGAGCCCTAGTAAGGAATGAAACGCTGATCAGGGCAAAATTAGGGCGAAAATGTATTTCCTAATCGGGGCCCCATCAGGCGGGCCTACACTGAAAAAAAAAATTTATTTCATTCAAATACTCGATTACTTGAGTATTATCAAATAAATATTTACTTGAACTAAATAATTTTTATTTGAACTAAATAAATTGTATTTGAATCAATAATTTTTTTATTTGAAACAAATAATATTTAATTGACTCAAATAATAATTATTTGATACAAATAAATATTTATTTGATAATAGTCAAGTAATCGAGTATTTGAATCAAATAAATTTTTTTTTTTCAGTGTATTCTCTAATAGGGCAGCCTGATCCGGCCCCAATCAGGGCCTTGGCAAAGTTTCTGCAATTTTTAAGATTATGCTTTTCCCTCGATCTTTTTGGGGTTTTTTCCCCTTTTTTTTTGATATTGACTAATAAAAATTCGAATCGAAAGAATTGTCAATTTTATAAAAATAACATTATTTTCAGGAAGCTAAAAAAACACCGCGAGATGCTTTGCCGATATGTCTTGACGGCGGAATGTACTCAACTGAATGGAAGTTGGAGTGGACTTGATAACCCTTCTTGGAATAGTGCAGAATACCCTGATCTATTTCAGGATTGGTACTTGACAAATGGAACTAACTTTACGCTTTATGAAAATTCCACTACACTTGCTGACGAAGGTTAGTCATTTTTTTTTTTTTTTTTTTTTTTTAACATAATCCACTTAATAAAAATATTTTAACTAAAGGAGAAAATTTCATTAATTATCTCAAGAATATCTCAAGAATTCAATTTTAAAATTTATATTATTTTTCAATCAATGAAGTTTTAATTAATGTTAGGTACAATAGATTCAAAATACTTTTACAATCTGTTAAAAAAAATATACAAATTTATTTTTTCTCTTTGTTTTGTACACTTTGACAATTATAAAGAAAAATAGAAATTTTAATTCTGGAAAAGTTTAATGCAGTTCAATTTAAAACTTTCAAATCCAATGTGTAGTCATGATTGAACGATAAATTCAAGATTGCGTTACGTAATTGTGCTTTAACTTTGAAAACTGTAGAAGTAAAGTACAAGGCATAAGTCTTAATTTCAGAAGTTTTTTAAAAGAAAGTTTTAACACGTCAGGATATTAGTCTGTAGTTTTATAATATCCATCTAACGTTGACAATTTTCTTTTACTTTTCGTGTTTATATAAAGAAAAATTGAGATCAAGTCAAAATATTTTTTAAATTTAAAAATCATCAGTTGAACGAACTTTTATTTGTTTTTTGTTGAAACAGTTCTGCCACCTTTTGAGCTATGGCAAACGATCCTGATTGCCATTTGTCTAGCGATCTGTATAGTTTTGACCATAGGAGGCAATATTCTCGTACTGTTGGCATTCATTGTGGACAGAACCATTAGACAGCCGAGCAACTACTTTATTGCATCTTTAGCTGCAACCGACATGCTTATTGGTAAACGATAAAATTTTATGAATGAAAACAAAATGGATATGAAAGAGAAAATATTTTAAAGAATTTTTTTTTTTTCTTTTCAGGTACCGTGTCCATGCCATTTTACACCGTATATGTTCTCATGGGATCCTGGGATCTGGGACCTTTGCTATGTGATTTATGGCTCTCTGTAGATTACACGGTTTGTTTAGTATCACAATACACCGTCTTGCTGATAACAATCGATCGATTTTGCTCAGTGAAAATTGCTGCACAATATCGTAGTTGGCGAACGAAAAATCGTGTCATTTGGATGGTGACCATAACCTGGATCATCCCGGCCTTGCTATTTTTTATTAGTATTTTTGGATGGGAGCACTTTATAGGCTACAGGGATCTGGCACCAAATGAATGTGTCGTACAGTTCCTAAAGGATCCTGTTTTTAATACAGCACTGATTATCGGTTACTATTGGACAACATTGATCGTTCTCTTTATTCTTTATGGTGGTATTTATAAAACCGCTTATGATATGCAGAAAAAAAGTGAAGCGAAACAAAGAAAAATGCAATCAATGGTGGCACTAAGTGCAGGAGCAATGTCAGGAATGGCTGGTCGAGCAGCGGGTATTGGTATTTCCAAAACACAAAGTACTCTCTTAAGTCAGGACAAACCCAAACCAACGGGTGGAGGAACTGTCAATTCAAAAACATCAGGAACCGATGGTACAGCAGGTGAAGACGATAATAAATCATCAAAGAAACAAGTAGCCTCCGATGAGTCATCGTTTAAACAATCGGGAGCAATGCCTACGGAAACCGAAAAGTCGGAGAGATCCAGCAGTCCTGCTTTTGATTCGGATGATGATAGTACAGTTGGACCATCTCAACAACCGAGTTTCAGAAAAAGATCATCCCTAGCTGGTTTAGTGGCTCAGTCGGGTGCTCTACAAGTGTTTGCACCCAATGGAAGACTGAATGGAATGCTACCCGTTAAAGTCGAAATGAATGTAACAGTTAAGAAACTCTCACCAACAAGTCCCATGCGTGAAGCTGTGCAAAAAGCCCAAACACTGCCAAAAATTCAGGAACTGAGTCTCCTGGACACCGATAACCCCATCGAACCGGATAAATCAAGTAGTCAAACACTAACTCCCGAACAATCCCTACGATCTAATGACGCAATTAATTCAGCTGAAGATACACCCACTTTTCAAACCAAACACGGAACAATTTCCTCACAAACAAACATCATCCCTCCACCATCACAATTTCGAGGTAGTCCTAATATTTCCGAAAGCACCTCAACGTCTTCACCATCAACGGACAGACAAAAGTCCCTAACAGTCTCTATACACGGTCAGGGTACCTATGATATTCTCACCGGTCTAGACGGGGCAGATCTTCGCTATATGGACGAAAGTTCCGTCATAGTACCAAGTCCATCATTCGAAAGTCCACCGTCATCGTTTTCATGTAGTCTCGCGAATCCCCTATCAACAGCGCCATCGTCACCAATTTTAAATAATACAACCGGAATGACAGTTGCAAATACAAGTCTCCTGCAGGCCGCTTTGATTAGAGCCACAGCTCAACAGGCAGGTTGTACACAACCAACAAACGCAATGTCCCAATGCATTGCAACATCGAATGCCTCATGTCAAACACATCCTCCACGTGTTTTTGTCACTCCTCAAGTAAACGCTGCCTCGCAAACATCGCCCATTGTCAGTAAAGTTCAGACAGAAGTCACTGTTAAAGCCGAGGATACAAAACCACAACCAGTTACAACAGTTATTTGTGCCACGCCAGTTGAATCCTCAAATAGTACAACTGAACGATTTTCAGATCAATTAACAAAGCCAAATGTACCTCTTCAAAATTCATCGTCAAGCAGTATGCTACCCACCATATCAGGCACCACAAGTGAACAAGGTGGTAAAAAACAATCGAAAAAATTTAAAGAACGCAACAACGATGAAGGAAGTAAAAAGGATTTTGTCAAAAGTATTGGAAAACGTATTAAAACAAAAACACAAAAAAGAGATCCAGCTATGGGTCGGCAAAAATCAAGAACAGAAAATAGAGCACGAAAAGCATTTAGAACTATATCTTTTATTCTCGGTGCATTCGTTGTATGCTGGACACCATATCACGTACTGGCGTTGGTAGAGGGCTTCTGTTCTATGCCACCGTGTACCAATAAACATGTCTTTATGTTTGCATACTTTCTATGCTATGCAAACAGTCCATTAAATCCTTTTTGCTATGCTTTAGCAAATCAACAATTTAAAAAAACTTTTATGAGAATTTTAAGAGGTGATTTGCATATGACTTAAAGAATTATTCTCTCATCAAAATATTCAATATTGCGGTTTTTTTTTTGGCATTAAATTTTGGGCAAAATCCAATGTCAGTGTAAATAAAAAAATATTATATACGGAGAACAATAGATGATAAGTGTTAATTATAACGATAGAAATATTTTTAATTACGGATACAGAAACTCCATAATTATCAGTACGATCTTCCACTTGTATAAAAAAAAAGTTGCTGTTATTTTTGCAAATATTCTAATTTCACATTATTATTTTATTATTTAAGTAACTAATTACTAAGTTTTTACATTTTTCCTTAATTTGAATGGTAATTAAAATTTTATTTTTTTTATCCTTTTGTGCTCGTATTAAAATTACACATTAATAAAATCAAAAATATTAAAAGCAAAATATCAAAATGTAATGTTTATTTTAAAAAAACTTTTTAAACGAGAAAATGTAAAAATAAAACCTACTGTAATGAAAATTTTTAAAAAATCAAAATTTAAAAAAAAAATCAAACAACTTTAATATTAGGTAAAAAAATGTATGCCATGCACGAAAGGATAAAAAAAAAATTATTTCATTTGTCTTCCAATATTAGTTTTTTTCCCCAATGAAAATATATATATTATTTAAATTAAAAATTAGAAATATTTCTTTTTACATTATAATAAAAAAAAAAAAAATAATAATAGTCCATATTGTAAATGTTTAGCAACACGAAAATGTGGGCCAATGTACAATTAAGAAAATAATATTTGAACGTGTATAAAAATAATATCAAAACAATCAACATCTTTCAGTACATTGTCTGATTAAGACTAAAAAATATACTATATAAAAAGAAATTAATTCTTTATAAGATTTTGCAAATGTAAAACATACATAATTGTTACTGATTTGTAAATACACATTATTGAAGAATTATTTACAATTGAGATAAAAAAAAAAAGTGAAGTACTTTGGAAGCGTTTTAAACAACATTTTTCTGAGCAGTTGCAAAAATTTTTTTTTTTTTTTTAGAAACTCGTATACAAAAAATAATAACTTTCATTAGTAATGTGTGTCTTTAAAAAAGATGTGCTAGCAAATAAAATCACAAATATGACGCAGCTATAATGCTTTAGATTTAGTGCGTACTTTGAAACAACAAAAAATGTTGGAAAAAAAATTTAGTTTAAAAAAAAATGTAGAAAATTATTAATAAATCGGAGATAATAAAATATATTTAAAAAAAAACGCTTCTTAAAAATTTACCAGAGAATACTTGAGAGAATAAAGTTGCCGTCTTCCAAAATTGACAACTAATCTCAAAGTATATATCTTATTGAGCGTTAGTCAAAGACAAATAAAATTTGTTAAATAATATACATACAAAATGATTGAATGCTTATTATGCTTATTAAGAAAAGATCCTACTGCCCTTGGCTGTGCTGCTATAAAAAGAGCATCTTAACTATTTGCATAAATTTTTTTAATTGTTTCTAATCTTACATTAAATGTAATCCAAAAAATAATTTTTTAATATTAATTTTCAAATTACATTCTTATGTAATTAATATTTATTATAAATATATATATTTCGATTTTTATAATTTTCATTACAGAAATGTTTTAAACAAATAAAAATTAAAGGTTCAAAGTGAAATAAAAAAAAAATGTACATATATGTATAACTTAAAATTTTTGAAAATTGAAAGATAATCGAAGTGTATAACAATTGTAATTCAAAAGTGGACCCAGCAAACCAGAATGGATTTTGTTTAATTGTTACATAATACTTGTATATGAAAATGTCCTTCCATAATTGTGACGCACATTATGATTCTCTAAAATTTATCTAGAATTTTCAGAAATAATTTTATAAAACTCAACATTCCAACAAACAAAAATTTGATTCATTTTGCCATTTTGCAAATTGTCAACAAACTTTTAAATATAAATTAATCTAAATTATATTTCGTAAAAATTAAAGTTCAATTAAATATAAATTCCGTCAAAATGAGATTTTATTGAAATGGAAATAATGAAAATTCATTTTAATGAAAAATTTGTCTTCTAAAATATTTATTAAAATTTATGTTAAAATATAATTTTGTTAAACGAAAATGCATTCAAATATTATTTCTCTTTGAAGTATAATTTATGTTTAATTAAAATTCATATTTCATAAAAATTTTTTTACTTAAAAATTTTATCATTTACAAAATTAATATTATTAAAAATTTATTTAATGGATAATGTATTTATAAAATATTTTTTATTTATTACGCGCATTCATATAAATTGAAGAAATAAAAATTTGATTAAAAGTTCTTTCTGAAATTCTTCCAATTAATGAACTTTAAAAAATCATAATAAGTCATAATTGTCATATTTATAGTTATAAAAATTTGTGAATGTTACATAATTTATATAAAAAATTCACAAATCAAATAACTTATTTTTATTTAAACAAATTTTAATGCCTTTGTCCGTTATAGAACACAATATCATTGAAATTGAAATTATATTATTTATTCATATTTTATTATTGTCACTGCATTAATTTAGAATAAATTTTTTTTAATAAAAATAATAATGAAGAGAGGAGTGAATGAAAAAATTTAATGAAATCTGAGAGAAATAATAATATTAATATGCGTGGTATATCAAAAGTAATATTATTGATTTAAATAGCTGCTGATAAAATAACAAAATAATTTTGTCTTTATGCAAATATCTTTGGGACCAAAATAAAATATATTTCAATGAATAAATTTGTTTACTTTTTTATAATAATTATAAATTTTTATTTTCCGATAGAAATAAATAATTCAAAACTATATTATTATAAATTTTTTTCTTATTGAAAAATTTCCACAATAAAATTCGTAAGATTTTATCAATTTTTTTCACTCGCTCCTTTTCAATTATATCTTCAAAAATTCAATTTGGGATATTCACATTACATATGGAAAATTAGAAAAATTGAAATAAAAAAAAAGAAAATAAAAATATACGAATTAAAATGTTATATTTTATTTATTATTAAAATTTAAAATAAAAACGTTATTAATTAATGAACTCTTTACATACATCTAATATTAAATTAGAATGTGGAAGCCTTTTCGATATTAAAAGTAGATCTGTGTGTGAAGTCAGTTAGGATCAAAAATGTATGAGTACATTTATATAGTTACTAGTGCGGAACCATATTTAGTATATATTTAATAAATATAAATATATGTATATGATTCGCGCGTAAATAATTTTGTAAAATGATTGTATATAAATGCGTGAGTTTAGAAAAAAAAACAGTTAATGTTGTTCATGTTTATTACATGAAAATGTGAAAAATAAATGATATATTAATGAGAAGGGTATATCTGAAAAACGACTCTGCTGGGGAGCTGAATCGATTTCTGAGCCCCTTTATCGGTTTAACCCTCGCAGTGTTCGATTATACTATTATCAATTAGATTAATAGATTTATAAATATATGAGCTTCAATGCCATGCAAAACGTTTTAATTTTTGTATTTGACAACAGACATTTTTTTTTTAAATAAATTTTTATTAATTTATTTTCATTTTTTCATAAATTAATATTTAAAATCATATTCATGAACTATTTTTTTCAACCAAAAATATTTTTACTATTTAACATATAATGAAATTGTCACTCGGTTAATAATTATAAAATAGAATCTACCAATCTTTCCGAGCCAAAGGTGAAATTTAAAAACACAAATATTTAACGTTTCGACGTTAAAGATTGATAGATTCTATTTTACATTTATTATTTAACAATTCTTTCTAAAAAGCAAGAAAAATTCCTAATTTTCTAAATATTCTATAATTATTTCACAAAAAAAAATGTTATATAAAAAATAAATGTCATATATTGTCAAAGAAAATCAAAAACGTTTTCATGGTATATAAATGAATGACTGAAATATTGTCAAGATACAATAAGTTTCATGGAAATGGACTTCTATTTAAAATGTGAAAATGATTTAAAAAAAAAAATTAATTTATGCTATATATAAATAAATATAACAAAATATGTTCGATTAAATAGATTCAACATTGGATTAAAATCAATTTAATCTTTCTTAAGTACCTGCAGTCCACAAATAAATTAATAAGTGATATAACAGTATTATGATGTAAACGGTTTATATAATTTATAATATCGAATTTCAATTTTCACGCATTTAAGATATGTACCATAATTTAATTATCTATAAAACATTTCTTCAATTTTTTTGTACATGAAATGTTTTAAAAAATTAATTTTGTAATATTAACCTGTGATGGATTACACTTCGTGCCATGCACAATATTCAATTATAATATACAAAATCCTTCAGTATTACTCATAAATGTATGCATATATTGTAAATAAAATTACCATTATTAATAACGTAAAATGCAAATGTAAAAAGCTTGTGTAGCACATCTATAAAATGATATTAATTGAACTCTAAAAACATATTCAGAGATAACATTTTATTTTTACTAAATAAATAGCATTCACGCTGAAAAAATATATGCAATGCATATGACTTGCATACACGATGGTTAAATGAGAATTTAAATTAAATTTAAATTATAATTCTTTATTTGAATGAAAACAATTGTTATTTAATTACAAATTTCAAATATTATTATTGTTAAATTCATTCATAAACATTTTGTGAAAACTAAATTTTATATATCGTTAATAAATTTACACTCAGCTATTTAATAAAATTAATAAAATAATCATCGAAATAAAATGTTATCTTTGAAATAGAATTTGAAAGTTTACTTGTTGTAACAATAATTTGTGGTCGTAGGAAAAATGTATAAGAAAAAAAAAATAATATTATATCATAATTGGATTCCCAACTCTATACATATTATATATGTATAAATGTAAAATTCAAAAAATCGAAGACAAAACAATAAGCATTTTTTTTCAATATATAAAAACCACATACTTTTTTAAATTATTATTTAAGAATTTCAAAATTTATCAAGCAAAGTTGAATATTAAAAAAAGAAACATTTCTACTAATTTTTGTAACATCGATTAAAAGCAACAGGAGAAAACAGGCCTAATTCTCTTAAATAAAAATGTAAACGTATGTATTTTCAACTCAACGAATCTACAAAAAAATCAGATTCTATTTGAATTCAACAATTAATACGTATAATTATTCTTTTTGGGTTTAATTTTATAATTTTCGACAATTCCAGAAATAATAACAGTAATACTAAGAATAATCATAATAATTAATAATAATAATAAAAAATAGTAATAATAATATTAATATTAATGACGATGATGATGCTGCTATAACTGCAACAATTGTACTTATTTCTGTTTTTAAATATAATTATCAAATGAATTAAACACTTACGCAAAGTATAACCTACCGGATTTTTTCTTAAATAACAAAATTTGCAATAAAAGTTTAAATTATTGCGATCTTACGTGTATTCTACTGGCGACAATCTCAATCAATGCAAATAAAAACGCGTAAATAATAATAATTAATTAATATATAATAATAATGATAAGGGAATGTGAATCAAATGAATTCAAAAAAACTGATCACTGCTGTATAGAGAAAAACATTAGTCCCCGTTTGCAAGCTATAAGTTGCGAAATTACTGTAATTAATTTTTTTTACTTAAAATAATATTATATCTCTTAAGTGCGCAGTAACAGCCTGTAACTTCAATAAATTATGTATTCAGAAATTTACATGGAAATGGTAGTTTCAATAAAAAGAAAGTGATCACAAGTCACCTCAAAATAAACACTTTATTATTGCGTTTTATTTCATATAAAAATAAATATGTCCTATTAAATTTCACACTTATTCTTTCAGAATACAATTTACAAATTAGGTACCAACAACGTAAACTTAATAAAAAATAGAAATAAAGATTACACAGAGTAGTTTTTATAGAAATATATGTTAGAAGTGAATTAATAATAACTGGTAAGTTCTAAAGAAAAGAATTACCAATTATTTCGAAATCATTAGCAACACCTACACCTAAGCACAACAAGCAAAAGTTACCAATTTCACAAACATTAGTAACAACTAACTAAAAACTACCATTGGTAACAACTAAACTACAAGCAAAAGTTACCAATGATTTCTACAACCATTGATAACAACTAAATATACAACTAAAACTACAAGCAAAAGTTATCAATGATTTCTACAACCATTGGTAACAACAAAACTACAAGCAAATGTTACCAATGATTTCTACAACCATTAGTAACAACTAAACTACAAGCAAAAGTTACCAATGATTTCTACAACCATTGATAACAACTAACTATACAACTAAAACTACAAGCAAAAATTACCAATGATTTCTACAACCATTGATAACTACTAAAACTACAAGCAAAAGTTATCAATGATTTTTACAACCATTGATAACAACTAAACTACAAGCAACAGTTACCAATGATTTTTACAACCATTGATAACAACTAAACTACAAGCAAAAGTTACCAATGATTTCTACAACCATTGATAACAACTAACTATACAACTAAAACTACAAGCAAAAATTACCAATGATTTCTACAACCATTGATAACTACTAAAACTACAAGCAAAAGTTATCAATGATTTTTACAACCATTGATAACAACTAAACTACAAGCAACAGTTACCAATGATTTTTACAACCATTGATAACAACTAAACTACAAGCAAAAGTTACCAATGATTTCTACAACCATTGATAACAACTAACTATACAACTAAAACTACAAGCAAAAATTACCAATGATTTCTACAATCATTGATAACTACTAAAACTACAAGCAAAAGTTATCAATGATTTTTACAACCATTGATAACAACTAAACTACAAGCAACAGTTACCAATGATTTATACAACCATTGATAACAACTAAACTACAAGCAAAAGTTACCAATGATTTCTACAACCATTGATAACAACTAACTATACAACTAAAACTACAAGCAAAAATTACCAATGATTTCTACAACCATTGATAACAACTAAACTACAAGCAACAGTTACCAATGATTTCTACAACCATTGATAACAACTAACTATACAACTAAAACTACAAGCAAAAATTACCAATGATTTCTACAACCATTGATAACAACTAAACTACAAGCAACAGTTACCAATGATTTCTACAACCATTGATAACAACTAACTATACAACTAAAACTACAAGCAAAAATTACCAATGATTTCTACAACCATTGATAACAACTAAACTACAAGCAACAGTTACCAATGATTTCTACAACCATTGATAACAACTAACTATACAACTAAAACTACAAGCAAAAATTACCAATGATTTCTACAACCATTGATAACAACTAAACTACAAGCAACAGTTACCAATGATTTCTACAACCATTGATAACAACTAACTATACAACTGAAACTACAAGCAAAAATTACCAATGATTTCTACAACCATTGGTAACAACAAAACTACAAGCAAATGTTACCAATGATTTCTACAACCATTGATAACAACTAACTACAACTAAGACTACAAGCAAAAGTTATCAATGATTTTTACAACCATTGATAACAACTATACTACAAGCAACAGTTACCAATGATTTTTACAACCATTGATAACAACTAATCTACAAGCAAAAGTTACCAATGATTTCTACAACCATTGATAACAACTAAAACTACAAGCAAAAGTTATCAATGATTTCTACAACCATTGATAACAACTAACTATACAACTAAAACTACAAGCAAAAATTACCAATGATTTCTACAACCATTGGTAACAACAAAACTACTAGCAAATGTTACCAATGATTTCTACAACCATTGATAACAACTAAAACTACAAGCAAAAGTTATCAATGATTTCTACAACCATTGATAACAACTAAACTACAAGCAACAGTTACCAATGATTTCTACAACCATTGATAACAACTAACTATACAACTAAAACTACAAGCAAAAATTACCAATGATTTCTACAACCATTGATAACAATTAAACTACAAGCAACAGTTACCAATGATTTCTACAACCATTGATAACAACTAACTACAACTAAAACTACAAGCAAAAGTTACCAATGATTTTAACAACCATTGATAACAACAAAACTACAAGCAAATGTTACCAATGATTTCTACAACCATTGATAACAACTAAAACTACAAGCAAATGGTACCAATGATTTCTACAACCATTGACAACAACTAAAACTACAAGCAAATGTTACCAATGATTTCTACAACCATTGATAACAACTAAAACTACAAGCAAATGTTATCAATGATTTCTACAACCATTGATAACAACTAACTATACAACTAAAACTACAAGCAAAAATTACCAATGATTTCTACAACCATTGGTAACAACAAAACTACTAGCAAATGTTACCAATGATTTCTACAACCATTGATAACAACTAAAGCTACAATCAAAAGTTATCAATGATTTCTACAACCATTGGTAACAACTAACTAAAAACTACATGCAATAAATTACCAATTGTTTCTACAACCATTCTCAGTTACTAATACTAAGCACTACAAGCAAGAAATTACTAATGATTTCAAAACTATATTGGCATCATTTTGATCAACCACTACTAAAGAAAAAATTATTTATTAAAATAAAAAAATACAAAGTTGGTACCTAAAATTCCGCGAAGTAAAAATTTCTTTGTATAATAAATAGGTGATATAATAAATAAAGGTGTGAAATGCTAATTCGAAAAATGAAAATTTTTCAAAAAATTAAATATATATAATAAAATGTTTTAAAATAATAATGCTAACTATTGATTTTTGATTTATAATCATGCCCACCGTTCTTTATTACTAATTTTAATTTGTAAAAAAGATATGAATGATTAAAGTTTTCCTCCAGTCTAAAACAAAAACTTTTATTTCTAATATCAGCCATTGGAAAATGGATGATATTTAATGATAAAATATCATTAAATCAGTGCTTCTTGGTGGAATGAGACATGCGATTTACTATTCTTTGAAAGTAAGGAAGCACTTAGAACTTGCAGTAATTTTTTTAATATGGATAATTTCATTAACTTAAAAACAACAGAAGCTTGCAAAAAAAAAAAAAAAAAAAAAAAAAAACTTTCAACAAAGTTACAGGAAATTTCTTTCGTGCATTCTACGATTCGCTGGATAGACATAATCCAATTTCTGGAGTCTAGAGACTTGAAATCTTTTAAAAATCGATTTACCCAGCCAGCAACAGTTTCTTGCGCAGCTGATAGAGAGAGATTGTATGCTATACATTATCTTGTCAGCGAAAGCTGTCCTTTACTGGTATTTCGCAAAAAATTTCTCAATCATTTTAGATCTAATGGGGACTACTTTCACTAGAGCAATAATTAAAAATTGCTATTTCCTCTGCAAATTGCTATTTCCCAGGTGGGCTTTGATAAAATCGATTTTAATATAATTTAAATTTTACTTTCAAAACGAGGATATTTTTCTCAAAAACTATAATTGATAGACATTTTTCACTTGCGGATTCGTAATCAGCATAAAATAACCTATCAAAAGCAGCTATGACATTTGCTGCACTAAAAAATTTTGGGTAATTGCGAGATTAATCAATTTCACCCCTTACCCAGGGATGAACTGTAGTTTTTGAAATATTATTATTATTATTTATTATATAATATATAACTGTTTAAAAAGGTAGACCAAAATTATTTTAAAACTTACTTGATTTTACTTCTGCTACAGGGAATTTTACACGTCAGTCATTCTTTCCGTAAATTCGATGTGCCGGAATTGATTCAAAATATCTATTTAAAAATGAATTAAAATTTTTAATATAAATTTCCGTTTAAAACTTTTTAATGAAATGGATGTAAATGAAAACAGAATTTAATAAATATTTAGTTATAAATTAATTATAAATTGCTGAAAAATTATCACTTAATTCAGCCAATTAGAAAATTTGCTATAACGTACAAATTCGTTATGACGCCATAACCTCAATACAAAAAATATATATATAATTGTTAAATGTATGATATATTCATTACTCTATATGCTCTAATATGATAAATTATTTTATTTTTTTGTGTTTATACTTACATTAAACTTCGGAGGATCATTAAACATCGCTTTTAACAAATATATTAAAGTAAACTTCGTGAACTTTTTTCTCCTTTTGACTCATATTGATACAAGCGTAAATTAAGCCACACATTGAATATGAATTTAACGTTGATGTCACTGGTTTTTTGATTCACTAATCTATATCATATTTGATAGAGATTATCAAATTATACAACTTAAAATGAACAAAGTTTTAACAATAAAGTGTGGATTTTTCGTTGAACACATTATGTATGGTCTAACGTACTTTTACGAATATTCCTCATCGTGAGAGGATGCAACCCTTCATACACCTGTGTATATACAGTTTAAAAAAATTATTAAAATGTTTAATTTTCACAATAACATAAATAAATTAAATTAAAAACTATTCTATCTATATAATAATTAAATTATTTGGAATTATATTATACAGGTATTTATTATTTTGGGAAATTTTTTAATTATTTGAGAAATAAAAATTTCTCCCCCTATTAGACGGCCCTGGTGGCGACGCGCTTGTCGTTCTATAGCGCCGATGGCTGCACAAGAGTGCGGGTTTATTTCTTTTAGCTCGTTTATATTCGCGTAATATTGTTAAAAAATGTTAATTTAGTGCGAATAGTTACAATTATTGTGTGTGGAATTTATGTTGAATTAAATTTATTGTTATACATTACGTGTGGAGGTATCTGTAAAGTAAATTACAATGGGACGTTATAGAAGGTAAGAATGCAACCATCTTCATTTCTCGCGTCTGCGAAAAATCAATGCTTTACTGACCGTCCTCTACTTATATTTTCCAAATTATTAATAGATTAATGGGTTATCTTAACATATAATAATTAAACACTGTAAAAAATTTAAATGAGAATGTTGTCTCTTTAAATTACTCTGAATCGCTTGTATTTTAAAAACTAAGTGACTACAATTGATCAAAATTTATACATTGTTGCATTTGTTTAACCTCAAAGATAAAAGTTACTTTCTATTATTTATTAGTAAAACAAAATCTAATGAAAACAATTGTTTAATTTGTACTTTTTTAAAAATAATATGATAATGATAAACATAACCTTAAATTCAAGTCATGTTTATGTTCTCTTTTGTTCGTTCAATTTACTCCAAAATGCATCTTATTATCTATTATATTACTTCTAAAAATAATTACATACCTTTCATCAAAAAAAAAAAATTTTATGGAACTGTTAATCACTCTTTTTGCATTAAAGATTTTGAAAGTTATATCATTTGTTAAGGTAGTACATAATATTATTTCTCTTTTTTTTCTGAGAAGAGAAAGGAGATATTGTTTCAATATAATTATCTCGGTGTAATTATTATAAAAAATTGTTTCGTCGTCTTGATAATTTTTTTTCAATCTAAACAATAGTAACAGAAGACAAATGAACTCATTCTGTTTTATAACAATTCCAACAATATATTTATTTATAGCATTTTAGAGTGAATGTAATTTAGCGATATTAAGTGTATAATGGAGCATGAAATAAATTCCTAGAAATTATGCGTTTAAAATGATTACTTGCATTTTTTTTTTTTTTTTTTTTTTTTTTTTTATATTAAACCTTTTCTGTTGTAATGCAATATATTTAATTTTATTTAATTATGTGAAACGAAAAAAGCAGTTATAATTTAAACTTTATATTAAAAAAATTTTCAGTTATTTTTATTTATTAGTTTTTTAAATTTTAATATAATTTATTAGAATTAATTAAAATTTAATAAAAACAATTTTTGTATTTTTTTTTAAAAAAGTTAAAAATATTAATTTAATCTAATTTTATAGATAAAAATTTAATTAAAAAATATTGCTGCAATGCTACTTTGATTATTTGAATTTAGTTTTATAATTTTGAATAATTATTTTTATCTCAGCCGCAGCAGAGATAGGGATAGAAGACGCAGGTCACGCACTCGTTCCAGAAGTCGTTCACCACGAGACCGAAGAAATTGGGGGGGTGGTCGTGATCGTGATAGGGGAGGAAATAGTCGAGGAGGACGAAATCAGCCAGGTGCAAATTTAAAGAAGCCCAAGTGGGATCTAAGCCGTCTTGAACCATTTAAAAAAGACTTTTATATTCCAAGTGACGTGGTTCAAAATCGAGATCCACGTATTATTGAACAATACAGGAGTGATAAAGAAATTACACTACGTGGGCGTAGTATTCCTAATCCTGTATTTTATTTCGAGGAAGCAGGATTTCCCGAATACGTTATCAAAGAAATTAAGTACGTTGAATTTTTTCATTTGTTCTAATTTTGAAATTTTTTTTTTACCGAATTTGATATTAAAATTTTTATAATATTTTTGATTTTTATTTTAGGAAACAAGGGTTCAAAGAACCAACTTCTATTCAGGCGCAAGGATGGCCGATAGCTTTAAGCGGAAGAGATATGGTGGGAATTGCTTCAACAGGATCTGGCAAAACTTTGTCATATGTACTTCCTGCAATTGTTCACATTAATAGTCAGCCAAAACTTTCTCGTAAGGATGGACCTATAGCTCTTGTTTTAGCTCCAACACGAGAATTGGCACAGCAAATTCAACAAGTTGCTGAGGATTTTGGACGATCGTCTGCAATTAGAAATACATGTTTGTACGGTGGAGCACCGAAAAATGCTCAGATTCGTGATTTAGAAGGTGGTGTTGAAATAGTAATTGCAACACCGGGTAGATTATTAGATTTCCTCGAATCGGGGAAAACAAATTTAAAACGATGCACTTATTTAGTTTTGGATGAAGCTGATCGAATGTTAGATATGGGTTTTGAACCGCAAATTAGAAAAATAATTGAACAAATAAGGCCGGATAGACAAACATTAATGTGGTCCGCTACATGGCCAAAAGAAGTGAAAAATTTGGCTGAGGATTTCCTTAAGGATTATGCACAAATTAATGTTGGTTCTTTGCAGTTGGCAGCAAATCATAATATTTTACAAATTATTGACGTTTGTCAGGATTATGAAAAAGAGTCAAAGTGAGTTTTTTTTTTGAGAAATTTTTTTAAATATATTTTGTGTACTTGATTTTTTTTATTAATTGTTTCTTTCAGACTAAGCACTCTTTTAAAAGAAATCATGGCAGAAAAGGAGAATAAAACTATAGTATTTATTGAAACGAAACGTAGGGTAGATGAAATTACTAGAAAAATGAAACGTGAAGGATGGCCAGCTGTTTGTATACATGGTGATAAAACACAACAAGAAAGAGATTGGGTTTTACAAGGTAAAAGAAATTGAATGAAAAATTTAATTTTTCTTATTATATATAAATTATTTTCTCTTTTTTATATTAACTTTTAAATTTCTTTCTTTTAAATAAGATTTTAGGTCCGGTAAAGCACCAATCCTAGTGGCTACAGACGTTGCAGCTCGTGGACTTGGTGAGTAAAAATAATTTCATTAAAAATTTAATTAAATTAAAATATTTGTTAAAAATTTAAATAATTTTATCGTGAATGTTCTAAGTTACGATAAATAAATTATATGTCGAGAAAATGTAGTTTTAAATTCTTGTGTAATTTTCCAAGAGTTAAAATTGCTTCGTTTCTTGAAAAAATTTTTAGATATTGTATATATATAAATTTTAATATGTTAATACAAATTGTTTAGATGTAAATGCTTATATTGAAAATCAGTTGAAAAGTTATAATAGTGTGCAGAAAGTTTTGTTAACTTAATTACGAATTTTTAAAAAAGGATTTAAATTTAGTTTTTTATATATGGGGGGTCCACAGTCGACAATATGTTTAAATGGCGTGGATCCACCATATATACAATAAATAATGTTTATTTAAAATTTTGTGAAAAAAATGGAATTAAGTTAACAAACATATATCTATAACTACAATACACTTATGGTTAAATTTCATCAAAATTAAAAATAACATAACAAAAATTTGCATATATTAAAAACCATAAAGAATTTAAAAAAGTAAAATTCTCCCTTAATTTTGATTTCTCTGTGTTGTATAAATGCATGATGATGAGATAAATTTTTGAAAGTGAAAAAAGTGTATTGTAGATAAAGATGTAATAGTACTATAAAATTTAGAGTATGTAAAATAAGAGAAACTGAAAAATGAATCAATGTGAAGGTAACTAAAGAGGCTGCATGTTTGTTTGGATTGCAGAGGCACATTGCGCGCAGGCCCACGCCGGGTAATGCAAAGCAAATGGCAAACGGGGGTGGTGTGCTCCGCTGCCTCTTTATTATTCGGTGGTGTACACTGGTTTGCATTGTCTGCGCTGGCTGCTGCGCGTGCCTCTAATCGTCAATTGTAATGTGAACACGGGCCAAAATCTGGGCCTAATCTCGGGCCCCTACTTTATCTACCTACGTACCGGACGTTGGTCCCACACTTCACCAAATCGCAGACCTGGTCTCTGGCCCAAGTCGGTGTTGCGCCAGAAAAAGTCAGAATCTCCCTTCCACCACACTGTGGCCACTCGAGCTTATCAGACCTGACAGCGGTTCAAAATGAGAGGCGGTGGCATGATTGCTGATGCCAGAGCCTCTTGCGAGCCCTAAAGCAACAGCGGCGGAGGCTGTAGCTGGAGCGAAGCGCAAACAGCCAGGCTCAGCCCGTACGTTGCTAGCGACACTCGCCCACTGCTTTATTTTAGTATGAATACATAGTTCCAATCAAGTTAATCGATATATAACACCTGTACATTCATTCATTATTATACACTCTGTTTTCTTCTTCTCAAATATATATTTACATTTAAATATATATAAATATCCTTTTCCTTATTCTCAATCCTTATCTCCTCAACACTTATCATTTTCAAATTCATTTCATTCTACTAATCTCTTTCAATACGAATAAGCATTACTACAATTGGCTTTAGTTCCTTTTAAATTTTTCTCATTTCATTTTTTTGTTATAAAATATTTACAAAACAGAATTTTAACTTTATCAGATATTTAAAAAAAAAATTTCACTTTTTTTCTTAATCGAAAGGAACTATAGCCACAAGCGCAATAGTTTGTGTTTTTATTAAAACTATAAAATGTAGATTAAAACTAAAAATAAAAAAAAAATATTCTCCAAGAAATTTTCTTTAATTTCACAAACATTATAGAATTCGGTATTTCGAAAAATTTATTTCTAAAAAAAAATGAAAAGAAACTTTCTTGGAGATAAAAATTTTTTATTATTAAAAAAACAAACTAATATTTACTTTTAAAAAACTTACTATTGTGTTATAAATTGTAACATTTTTTTTATATACGAATAATCATAAGTCTGTCAAAAGATCATAAAATATTTAATTGAATATATCTGCTTCTAATATTATTATATTAATTTCAGACGTTGAAGACGTCAAGTTTGTAATCAACTTCGATTATCCATCTTGCTCGGAAGATTACGTACATCGTATTGGAAGGACTGGACGTCGACAAAAAACAGGAACAGCATACACATTCTTTACGCCCAATAATTCCAATAAAGCAAACGATCTTATACAAGTATTAAAAGAAGCTAATCAAGTGATCAATCCAAAGCTTCTAGAACTCGCCGATGGCAGAGGCAGTGGTTTTATTAGACACAGAGGTAATTTGAAACTATCTTTTTATTTCGAAAACAATTGATGATTCTAAATAAATTATTGCAGGTGGTAGAAATCGGTGGCGAATGAAAGGCGGACGTGGCGACAGAGAACGCAGTTATTCACGAAGTAGAAGTCGTAGCTACAGTAGGGAACGAAATGGAAGAAGTCGACGAAGTTACAGCAGAAGTTATTCTCGCAGTCGCAGTCCTGTTAATCGCACAGGCAAGTCGTCAGACAGTCCTCGTGGTGAAGGCTCTTCAGTTGAAACTCCACCTCCAGTTTCCAATCGTCCTGCAATTCCTCATTTAATGGCAACTCCAATTTCCAATACAATTCATCCACCACCACCATCATCAACGCCATCTCCAAAACAACAAAATATTCACATAAACATACAACCACCCTTGCCACCTTCTCTTCCTCCACCTCCACCGCCACCTCCTCCAAACGATAAATCCACATTAACTCAAATGCAACCACAACAAACTTTCTGTCAACTTCCTCCAAATCTCCGACAGCCACCTCCCTTACCACGATACTCACAGCCAACACAACCGCCACTTCCCCTTCAACCTCCTCTTCCTCAACAACCTCCACTTCCACAACAACCGCCACCTCCGCTTCCTCCAATGGGTGGCGGACCAACTTCCGCCTCAATACAAACAATCTCCCATCCTATCAATATTTTGGGTTGTGCTACGGGTCCTCGATCAAACTTTACTGGGGTACTTCCCCCTCTACCGAGAGTGAACTTGGGTGGACCTTATCGTCATCTCGGGGGTGGGCCTAATATGAACATGGCCTCTCCGCCCCCCATAGGCGGGGGTGGCTACCAGAACGCGTTGCCTACCTCGACGTACTACCAGCCGCCTCCGCCACCCATGCACCCCATCAATGGCATTCATCATTAGCAGCGCTACTCCTGCACTGCCATGTGCTCTCAAGGTTTGTCTAGATATTCCTGATTTTTATCGCCAAGTCTATTTAGACTTGTTCTCGACACTTTTTTTCATCCCCTTTTATTAGAAATCAAACTAATTTACAACAAAATTATAATATATATAATATAATATTATAACATTAATGTTGTTAATAATCTTTAATACTTTCAGTCTTTGTGAAATAAAAGTCAAAATTGACTTGGCGATTAAAATCGTGTAATGGGAGGGGGGCCATGTTTTTAAGACATCGATGCAATAAGTTACATGATGCAAAGAAGCAAAATCTAAAAACATGTTTATTATCCTTTTTTTTTATTAAAAGGGGAGCCTGTTTCGAAAATTCAAAAACTCTAAAAAAAAAAGTATACATTATTTTCTACTCTAAATTTTTAAAAAATTTTATTTATTTATAAATATATTCTTTTTGTAAATAATGTTTACTTACTGTAAAATATTTAGTTTTATAATTTTACATTATTATAAATATTTTTTTTTTTTTTGAAGAAATTTTCCACACTGACAAGAGAGAAGATTAATTATATTATTTTTCTATATAAATATTTTTAAATAATATATAATTTTTATTTTTATTGTGAAGACGAAATATTCTTAATTTAAAATTCCTTAGGAACTATACAAACAATTACTTTCTTATTATTTTTTAAATTTGAACCAAATATGATTTTTCTAAACTAGGCTTCTCCTTAATGGACAATATCTGTAAATTACATAACAGATAATTTTTATTGTGAATATTTGTATTCAAAATCAAATCAAAAGGAGGGAACTAAATTTTCAAAAGTAAAAAAAGTTTTACGTAATTTATGGGTGGCCCCCTTAATTAATATTTGCACTGTAACGTATAATTTTATTTAAATCGTAGTAGGTTGTTAAATATATTTTTAAATAGTTTAGTTATTTGATTAAACTTTGTTTTTAATTTTTACGTGAACAGTTATTTTTTTATATTTTTAAAAGAACAAATTCATCGATGTCTATTATCATAAAACAGTACCTACCTATTTTTTAAAAATATTTTCTTTAATTTATCAGAAATTGTAAATAATGGAATTTTTATTTAATTTTTCTATTAAAAAACTTAGTTTTGTATCTATTTTTTCATGTCAGTTGCAATAAAATTTAAATGAAATTTAGTTTTGACTTGATTATTCGGTAAATCCTTTATTTTATATATACTTACTAATATTATAAATTTTTTATTCATATAATGAACAATTTAAATGAAATAGTAAATAATACATTTTTTCAAATATAATCATATGAATTGAATTTTTCCTTTAATTTAATTAATACAAAAAAAAAATAAAGAAATTTTGACCAATGAAAGTAAAAATGCTTTTTTTTATAATCTCACAAATTTTTCTCAATTGCAGAAATCAGGAGAGGAGATTGTCGAAATTTTAATTATCAACCAAATTAAAATTGAATAATTTCCCTTTATCCATTCCATTCCTCAAAAACCATTTTATTTTAAGGGTTGACGTACTTGAGGGTTTTCAAATTGTATTTTTTCTCCACTCCATTTTACTTTTTCCTGCATTAAATTCCTTTTTTGTATTTTTAGAGATCTTTTATTTTATTTTTTGTTGCATGTAAAATTTTGTAGTGCATGAACAGTTTGCAAAAATTAGAGTTAAGAAGTAATTTTATGTAAGTTACATTTTTTACAAATAATTTATATTTATTTATTTATTATGTGCAATAATAAAATATTTATTTAAATATTGTTGCTAACAGTAACAAGTGCGTCTTTTCTTAAAATAGAAAAGCTCTCGTGCTTTTGCATTATTCCATTAAACTTATTTATCCTTTTTAAAAGAATTTTTAATAAAAAAAAAAAAAAACTATTTTGCCTTTATAAACTATTATTATCAATTTAGATAAAAAAAAAAATTTAAATACCTATAAAAATTAAATAATTAAATTTTCCTTATTTAAAAATTCGCAATTTCAATAACAAAATATAATTACAAATAAGTTAATACAATGCGTTAATGAATAGATAGGATGTAATTTTCGGAATATTTATATAATTCATGAAATTTAATATTTACAGAAATTATTGGCAAAAGCTATTGGAGCAGTGAAAGATGATCATCATCATCATGTGGACGATGAAAATATTGTGATAAATTACCACAATATGATAACGTCGATAACATTTTCAAACGTATTAATGTTATTCGCAAAACAATTGTAAAAAAAAAATAATATTTAAAAATTGTAATTTTTCATCAAAATTTTACATACCATGACGTGAAATCTTGGATTTTTCAAATAATTTGTATATTAAAATTAGCTTCAATTGAATAATAGGTTTAATATGAAGCTCTTCAATAATAGAATAATTTTTAATTCAACGATTATATTGTAATATTCATTCCTTTTTTTATACAGAGATACAGATTTTTCTGTATTTAGAAAAGTAGAAACCATTATTGTACAGTATTGAAGAATTTCATAATAATTAAATTGACATGACAAAAGATTTTTTTTAGTTAAATTTTTTATTTGTATTTATATAATTTTTTTTTATTAGTTCAAACTGTGTCAAATACGTGACCACTAATTTCCTTATTTCTCATTTATATAAAACTTTTGTGATTAAATGTGTAATTAAGTGCAAAGAATAGTGACAATTAATAAATTTTCGTCTTTTGACGTTTTTCTGTCATAATAAAAAAAATTTAAGTAGAATATTTATTGATGTTTTATTTATTAACCCATTCTAATTGTTTAATTATTATTTTTTTGTAGTCTTCAAAATTCTTCTACTTTATTAAATTTTTAATAGTATATTTAATAATAGAAAATGTAAATTTAATTTGTAAATGTATTTTAATGGTATTAATACTGAGTAATCATATTTTAGAGCCTTAAAAAGTTTTTTTTTATATTTAGAAAATGATAAAAGAAATTTTGGAGTAGGGTGAATAATTTAATGATCACCCTGTGTATATTTTATTAACTAGGATAGGAATATAAGAATAAAAATTTAATATTTTATAATTAAATTATTAATAATTAATAAAAAAAATAATGTTTTAAAAAATTGGAGTAGTTTAAATATAATAAAGTAAATTATCTTCATTTATAAATAAAAAAGTGAACTTCTTCTCAATAACTGTAGATGCGCTAGTGGTCTCTTGGCGCATAATATTTAAATATACACAAAATTTATATTTATACAAATGTTATTTTTAAAAATCACAAAATACGACATATTTTTAATCAGAAATTTCACAGAGCTAAAGTTTTTGTCACGATACGGTAGCTATCATTTTGTTTTGTGCAGTTTCATAATTAAAATTTTTTTTTAAATATAGGTAGAAACTATAAAAATTAAAATCATACTACGTAAGTCAGTGAAGATCCAAATTAACTTTAAAATGCAATAAAATAAAATAAAAATTACGAGCCAAAAACATAGATTAATATTTACTAATATATTATTAATTTCGGAATTATTATTTACAATTCAATAATTAATCTTTATAAAGTGAAAGATTAAAAATGGAAGGGGTAAATAGGAAACTCAGTTGGGAAAAGGGAAAAAGAAATAATCGATTTTGTATGGAGGTTACCGATTGGCGGAGAGAATCTATGTCAGATGAACAAGAGCTGTGATTGGTCGGTGATGATCACGTGAAATCTGCAAATGTTCACGTGATGAAGAAAACCAGACGATGCCCACAGTTGCCCGTCGGTGCCCGTTTCGTGTTTCCGTCTTCCCAGCGCTCAGTGCCTGTTAGCCATTGACGCTCTGTTCGCCGGGCTCTGTTGGTAAGTTTCATCAGCATTTTTTCACTCTTTATTTAACACGTTTTACTTTAGATACACGAAAATATTACATAATAGAATTTCCAGTAATAAATAAAAAAAAAAAAAAAAAAGAAGAATTTCCCGTGAGAACATTTCATCAGATGTGAATTTTTACTCTGTTCACAGGTTTGATTGGCACGGACGAACACAATTTTTCTAGGAAACATCGAGGAAAAAAAAGATCGTGAATCCTCGAAAAAGTTAAAAAAAAGATCCGTGCAACATGTACAGCAACGGATATTCCAATCAAACCTCGTAAGTACTTTATATGTAGATATAAATTTTGTATCCCATGGGTTTTCTTGATTCTCGAAAAGAAAGGATTCTGCTTGCGATCGATAATGGCTGGGTAGCTTACAATTGGAGTCCGCAGCCGTAATGATTCTATTGCGGCCATTTTGTGCAAACGTCGATACTTTGCAAAATTTTTCCAAGATTTATTCATGTCAAATACGAGAATGACATTCTTTGTCTAAGAATCCAGAATATTAATTGCTTTTTATAATCAATTAACAATAACCGAGTTATATTTTACATATATAAAATATTTCAACTATTTTTACCTATCAAATTTTTTTTTTGACAATTATTTATAATAAATAGTAATAGTTTTTTTTATTTGAGTTTGTTATTTATCCTATAAATTTCTAGAGAATCATTTCTAAATTATTATTGACTCCAAAAATTTTTCTGTGTTAAATTATGCAAGTTCTTTGACAACGTAATTGCAAATGATTATAACTGTAATGTTAACAAATCTGTGGTACAGTTGTAAATTAAATATTTTGCACGTCCGCATTTAAAAAAGACAATTTTATCAAATTTTATTAAGAATTCTTTTAGTATATTTTAATAACGTTTTTAGGGGTTACTAGAAAATCGATAAAATTCTTTTCATACAAACCATTCAGAATTTTTAGAATAAAATATGTTTCACAGAAATAATAAATGTTTTCTATATTTTTAATGATTCATATCGTAAATGTTTTATTTGAAACATCAAATTATTTAAGGAATGCTAGAAAATGCTTTATATTGCTTTTTTCACTTGATATTCGGATTCTTAAACGAATGATTTTATGAAATTAACACAATATTGATTTTGACATTTAAATGATAATAAAATTAAAATAATTAAAATTATAATCTTAAATTATTGTGATAAAATGTAATGAAAAATATAATTTTGTAGCACAATAATTTAAGATGTTTATTGTCAAGTGTATAATAAACTTTGTAAAAAAATAAAGTTTCAGACCCAGGGGGAACAGAGAGTTTGGCAACCGGAAAGGGGGTGGAACTTATTGGAACAGCCAACAACAAACTCAACAAACTGATTATAGTTCAAAGAAATCAAATTTGAAAAAGATGCCAGGTGATTTGTTAAAGAAACCAAATTGGACTTTGGGTGATTTACCTTATATTAATAAAAATTTATACACACCAAATCCCTATGTAGTTAAACGTTCTCTGGAAGAAGTCAACAAATATCGAGTAGAAAAGGAAATCACCGTTAAAGGAAAAAATATCCCCTTTCCAATACAGGCATTTGAGGAAAGCAATTTTCCTTATTATGTTATGGACAAAATCTTAAAGCAGGGCTTTAAAGAACCAACCGCTATTCAAGCTCAAGGTTGGCCAATTGCGCAAAGCGGCAGAGACATGGTTGGAATTGCACAAACTGGATCTGGAAAAACTTTAGCCGTAAGCACCTTATTATTTAAAATAAAATATTTTGTGTTACTTTAAAATTAACCAAATTCGTTTTTTTTTTTTTAGTATATATTACCAGCAATCATTCACATTCAATGTCAACTAAAATTGAAACAAGGAGAGGGTCCACTTGTGTTGGTTCTTGCACCAACAAGAGAATTGGCACAACAGATTCAAACGGTTGCACGTGATTTTGGAACATCGTTAGAAATCCGTAACACTTGTATTTTTGGTGGTTCACCAAAAGGACCTCAAGCACGAGATTTGGAGCGTGGTGTTGAAATTTGCATTGCAACTCCAGGAAGATTGATCGACTTTTTAGAAAAAGGCACGACCAATTTACGAAGATGCACTTATCTTGTACTCGATGAAGCCGATAGAATGCTGGACATGGGCTTTGAGCCTCAGATTAGAAAAATTATTGAACAAATAAGACCAGATCGACAAGTGCTTATGTGGTCTGCCACTTGGCCCAAGGAAGTACAAGCACTAGCTGAAGATTTTCTTAATGATTATATTCAAGTTAATATTGGTTCACTAATGTTAGCCGCTAATCATAATATTCGACAAATCATTGATATATGTCAAGAGCATGAAAAGGAAGCTAAATTATCGAAATTATTGCGGGAATTGGGATGCGAACGCGGAAATAAAACAATTATTTTTGTTGAAACTAAGAAAAAGGTTGATGATATTACTAAAACAATTAAACGTGAAGGATGGTCAGCAATTGCAATTCATGGTGATAAATCACAACCTGAACGTGATTATGTTCTATCTGAATTTAGAACGGGAAAAACTGCCATTCTAGTGGCAACCGACGTGGCAGCTCGAGGTTTGGATGTGGAGGATGTGAAATACGTCGTTAATTTTGATTATCCTAATAGTTCAGAAGACTACATTCATAGGTAAATTAAATATCTTATTTTACTTTTTTGAAAAGTTTCTTTTTTTGTACTAGTAACATTTTTTTTCAACAATTATAATTTATTTCGATTTTATTAAATTCGTTAATTATTTTCTTTCAGTTTTTAAGAGAAATGGTTGCAATTCATACACTTATTTGGAGAGCTATAATTGATCGTAGATTAATCAAATTTATAGATCGTTTTATATATTCTTTTAAAATTAATATTTAGAGACTTATCAGCTATGAATAACACTCTGAATATTAAAAAAAAAAAAAAAAAATGGAATTAATGCTAATTTTGAATTTATTTTACAGGATAGGTAGAACGGGACGTTGTCAAAGCGCTGGCACTGCTTACGCATTCTTCACACCCAACAACGCTCGTCAAGCGAAAGAATTGATTTCCGTTCTTGAAGAAGCTGGTCAGGTGATCAATCCTCAACTCGCGGAAATGTCAAATTCACAAAGACATCAGTATGGAAAGGGAAGGCAACGCTGGAGTAACAATCGCAATTCAAAGGATAATAATTCAATGGGTGGTAGTCCAAGGAACAATCACAGTCCAAATACAAATGGTTGGCAAAATCAGCATAATATCATTCAACCAAGCCAAATGAATGGTGGTGGTCACGAGAGACAAATGATGCGGCCACAAAATACTTATCAGAATAATCGACAAAATGGATATCAAAATAATTATCAACAGCAACAGCAAACAACTGTAGCGCAAACGCAACATCATCAGCAGCAACAACAACAGCAACAACAGTCGCAACAACAACAACAACAACAACAACAACAACAGCAGCAGCAGCAACAACAACGGCAACCCAATGGCTATCATCACACTGGAGGATATCAGGCGAATGGTAATGGTATTCAAAATACTTATCAAGCAACATCTGCTCCTAGATATCAAAATCGTGTTGGCTATCAAGGTAGTCGTTTCAATAATCGACAAAATACATTCAACGGAGGGCAAAATGGACAATGCATGTATTCAATGCCACCTCCATTTATGATGCCTTCCGCTGGACCCACTGATAGCAGCATTCAAAGTCTAGTTAACAACAAGTTCTTCCAACCGACCAATCGACCACCGCCTGGTCCCAATGCTTGCGCTTATCAATCAATGGGCTACGGTCAATTCCAAGCTGTTCCACCTTATGGATATCCCTATCCACCAACACCCGTTCAACAGTGACGCCTTCCAAGAGGTAAAATTTCCGAGATTCGAGCCAATTGAAACTCAAATACTCGAATTTTTAAATCCTATTCTCTCGTACAGATGAAAGTTTTTGTGATTTGCGTGGAATAGTAGATTTTTTCGCTATGTTCTTAATATAATACTTGGTATTTTGTTTTAATTTTTTTTTCCCCTTTATTCATACTTTTCTGGAATGATGCTTGTAATTTGAAAAAAGAAAAATAAAAAAACAAGCTTAACTTGGCGAGGTTTAAAGCACAAACTTTCAAAGAATCCAAAAATAGGATTTAGTAAAAAAATAAATAAAATTTCTGATAATAATTGATTGGGAAAAATTGAATTCACAATAATTGCACATTCCAGGTTAGTTGGTGTAGAGATAGTTAGTAGAAATGGTATATCGATATATTAATATTGAATATTTGGTCGGAACCACGAATATAATTATGATGGACGACCCTACGGTAATTAAATAGTAATCTTTTTGCGATAACTATGTAAACTACCTGTATGCTTTTCTGAAATGCACGAAACATATAGAAGGGGGGTGGGTTAGGATTAATAATTTATAATTTATTTATATCTCGGGTATGGACAGAAGACGCTTTAACAAAGGAAACACGAAGGCCTTTTGCATAAAAAAAATTTAGCTGTGCGCCCAATTGAAAACGACCATGTTCTAGAGAAATCCGCGACGAGACCAAATGCGTCTTTATAATATAAATGTAAGGTTTCTTTCCGCTATAGAAAAAAAAAAAACAAAACAAACTGCAGTCCGATTGGAGAGATCTTTCGTATACGGGAAAAAAATAAAAGATGACAAATATCGTGCGAAAAAGAAAAAATACGATCTTCCAAGCTGTCCCGACAATCGAATGAATGGTCGAACCGAAGTTTAGGGAAAGAGGCTACAAATTCGGGCGCGTAGTCATATGGCTGTGCATTCTCGGAGCAAAGCTCTTTGTATCTTATTTTTGTATCGAAAGTAATTTGTTGTTAGAACGAATAACGATATAACAGAAACAGTATCGATTGTTGTTTATGCAATTGGCCACCGAGTGGCCTTGCTTTACATCACACACAGATTGCGACGGGAAAAAGTGCGCGCAGACTGGTCGCGAGCTAAAAAGAAAAATAAAAAAAAAATAAACTTGAATCGTACCTGTGTTCTTTTATTAGTTTCTCGCGTCAAAATTCTGACCACAATTTTAATTTAGCGAACAGTAAAAAGTCTAGGTTGTTATATAATACATAAATGTTTAATAGGCTGCATAAAAAAAATATTAAACTACACTACCAACACGCGAGGCTAACAACTGTGTTCCATACGCGTCTAAAAAAAAAAAAAAAGAAAAATTTTTTTTGAACGCGATTAAACATGTTGTTTAAATTGGTAATTATGATCGACACGATCTACCAACTCCGTGTTAATTTTTGCGAGCCTCCAGATCCAAAAATTAAAAAAATAAAATCAAGTCGTTTTAACTCTCTAGAATTTGGTTCAAAGTTTTTTTATTTTGCGATAATATCGTCTAACAAACGGCACCTTGTGAAGCCTAAATTTCTTTTCAGTCTATGCATTTCAAAACGCACATCGACTTTTCTCAAACACTTGTACCATTTTTTTTTTTACTCGCTTTTATGTACAATAGATTTCATAAAGAATTGCCATGAAAAAATATTTCTTTTCTAAAGAAAAAATCGAAAGTCTATTTTAAAAATTTCTATTCATTTATTTTTAGAAATTAATTAATCATTCTTTTTTCTTCCTTATTTTAGAAAAGAAAACAAATCTATTGGATATAAAAGTTGAAACATTTTTTTAATTTTGAATTAGATGAAACAAATTACAGATAACGAGAGTCAAACTGGAGGCTCCCGCACATTGCGTACGCCCCTTATCGAATAAAGTCACTAAAAAAAGAAAAAATTATTGAAATTTCATTTTGAGAAAGAAAAAATCCATTTTCTAGAAGCAAATTCTAAAACAAAAAGAAGATATATTATTAAAATGTCCTTGAAAACAATATTTATGGAGCAGAAAATTTTTTCAAAATTGATAGAGGCTGTACGCGTAGTTCTGTGATATGTATGATGTAGCGTATTAATAGACCCACTGTTCTATTATACATCATGATTAAAATAGGAAACGTATCTCATCAGTTTTATATGTGGTATATCATATCATATTAATCTCGATGGTATTTGCGAAATGTACTGTCGACTTAGAAAAAAAAGAATTCAAATGATTATTAAAAGGAAAAAAAAGAAGAAGAAGATGATGATGATGATGATGATGATGATGATGAAGAAGATAAAAGTCTTTTTGCGAGTCTCCCAAGAATAGGTCGATATCGAGGGGAAAAAAAATAATAAGAATTAAAAAAAGTTATAATAATGGGGCTATAGGTACGACGCAACTTGTACTCTTATCGTAACAGCGACTGTTAAATATATATAACAGCTGTTTGAAATTATTTTCTAAAAATTTATAATAACAAAAAAAGAAGCGTTAATTAAAAAATAAAGTAAAAAAAAACTGTCTGTGGTGGTCGCACCTCACACTCTTAAATACACATAAAAAGTGCAAAAATGCGCTGCCGCTGTGTCGCCAACTGATGAGAAAGATAGGCGTGCTTTTTTTTAAAAAAAAAAAAAAGAGAAGAAACAAAACCCCCATTGAAACGAGTACGTCTGATCAAAAATCATAGAAAAAAAAAAATTTCTTTGTTATCATATGTCTATTTATGTCTATTTCGTAAATATTACTATATATATATATATAAATATATATTAATTTTGTTAATATTTTTTCATTAATTTCGTGTACCTACATTAATCAAATAGGATTTTAATTTTTATGATTAATTATTATTATTATTATTATTACTAATATTCTTAAATGTGATTGACAAAGATTTCTCGACAACGATATAATATGAAATCATTAATTTATTAATCACTGAAATACGTGTGAGATTTTTGATCTTGCGTTACTCAAAAATGTATTTTTTTTTTTAATTTATTTTTTTTCTATATTATTATTATTTTCGTCAATGAAACATAATTAGTATGCGTGAATGTCGCACCTCAGTACGCCGGTGATAGTTGACTCATATTGAAAAAAAGAGAGATCGACAATTACTGAGAAAATGAAGAAAAAAAAAAAAAAAAGTACCTTCGCAACTAATGCTGAGCGCTGTGATATCACGTACATAAACTTTTTATTATTAATAAAGGATAAATACGCATATTGTAATGTTAACGAATATTATCTCCTTTAATATGAAGACTGAATCTCTCGCCAATTTATATACGAGTTTAGCAGCCGCAAGTACACGTTCACATACTGTACGCTATAAATACCTATTTGTATATTATTACTATATTTTATATATTTGGATGACGCCGTCCTTGTTGGACGCGGCTGTAACTATTACGTTAGTTCGATAGTGGGTGGATGTACGTTAAATGTACATCTAGAATAATTTTTGCAAAGTTATCAAACACAATTTATCTTGTGGGTTCCAGTATTTTCTACGTTAAAAAAGAATCGCAAAAAATAATAATATAGAATCTCTTTTATAGTGCATCTATAACTAAAAGGAGAAACATTTCTTTTATACGTACATAATCGAATTAAAAATGAACTCAATTTATTCAAAATTTGTATATAGAAATATTTTAAAATCACTCCAAGTTGTGTTTTAACTTGAGTTTAAAAAAAAAAGAAAAAATTTTCCTTAAAATCAAGAAGGCAACGATTCGTCCTCTCGATTGAATAAAAGAAAATAAATTAAAATAGAACCCACACCAGTATGTCAAGGGGAAGGGTTAAATAAAAAAAAAAAAAGTATATTTTTTGGTGTCGTCTGTATTTTACACTTTACAGCGTAGAGTAATTGTCACATATACGAATATTGCATATTGCAGTGTCCTGATTGTGTATGAAGTTAAAAATGGTACTGCTTAACTCCTACCTTTCTCGTACGTGTATGACACACAAACACACACAATAAAAAAAAAAAAAATATAGACGCACCACCGTGTGCACAAAGAATCGGCATCGCCCCTATTTCATTGAACTAATGCTCTTAAAAAAAAAAAAAAAAAAAAGTATTGATCTACTTCGTGCAGCACCTCATGCGTCTCTGCGTTAGTGTTAATTGTCTACTTATTTTGTATCGTCTCTCGTTATTAAATTCCACAATTATATAGAAATCATTACCTAGTTCGCAAAGGCCTGTTGGGAACGTATTTTTATTTATAATTTTTCAATTATCTGCGCATGTATATTTCATGTTCCAGAGAACAAACTATACCAGAATCTAGTCAAAATTATTATAATATCACTAAGTCCTGCGGAGTTGAAACACTCGTTTTTGAGTTTCATCCGTCAAAAAAAAAAGAAAAAAAAAAAAATCTTTTATATTTATATTTTTTTTAATAATAATAATAATGATAATAATAATTGTCGCACTTAATCTCAAAATATCTACGATGTTTAATTATTCAGTAAAACAAAAAAAAGTTTTCTCATAAAAAAAAGGAAAAAAAAAAATAAACGAAAGGATGAAGGGTGTTTTTGTGGAGGCCTTCATTATATATTTTGAGCAACCTACTATTTTGCTCAATACAATCAAACTGTTACGAAGTGATATTATAAATATAAAAAGAGGTATTATATCGTGTAAATTGAGCGAACTTGACGGGCATATATAAGTTTTTATATTTGATACTAGTTTATGATAGTAAAATGAAAATGAAAAGAGGAAAAGGAAATACTATGAAAACTGTTCCCTGGACGTTAGCCGAATGATTATATTCCCTGGCGTTAGTTTTTACAAAGAGAGAAAGAGATAATAATTATTGTGAAGAGGCGTATTTATTTTTTGACCATGACATAATTTTGGGGGAGCAAAGTGATAATTAGTAGTGCACGTATATGAAATACGAAATATATTACTAAACGAACCTTGCTGGAAAAAGAATAAAAAGTAACGTCCTTTAAATATAAATTAAAAATAAAGCACCAAATGCCCTCTGCAGTGCTCGTGAACATTTATTATTTTTGAGCTAAACAGGCGGAGAGACAAAACTCAATCGTTATTTTAAGACCACAGGAAGAAAGACAGTTCGACAAAAAAAAAAAAAAAAAAAAAACGATAAGAAAAAATAAAAGATTTTATGATAACTGCTCCAGTTCTGTAGGTTTCACTAAAGTGCATTTCTTGTATGTTATACAGTATTATAATAGAAAATAAAATAAACACATTGCAATTACAAATTTTCAAATTTACTCTTTTATCAAACTACTTATAATCCTTAATCCTTATCCTACTTCACACATAACATACATTATAATATAATCTAAATGAGAAGTTGATAAAACTCTCTACAAGAAGAATGTTATAAAATATTTACATGAAATTGTATTTGAAAATGTTAGAAAATAAAGAAATTTGAAAGTACAAAAAATTGTCTTTGAAAATTTTAAAAAAAAAATCATTTTTCTTTGACTTTCGCCTATCATTGTAATTTCAATAAAAATCTAAATGTAGATTTAAAAAATAAAAGATGCAATCTCAACTCTTATCAGCATAAATACAAATCGTAACTTAAAATACTTTTAAAAATCATTATTTACTTTTTAATTGATAAAGTTGTAAATAAGCGTTTTTAGATACTAAAACTGTTGATATAAAATTTTAATAATACAAGTATATATTTTCCTTTAAATGAAAAATTTTAAAAGAAACTAAAATTAAACACTTATATAACAAAAATAAATAGAAAACAATTAGTTTTAATATTTTTCATATTCAGTTATTTTCTAATAGTTTTAAAAACAAAATAAAATTTTTATTAAATAATTCTTTGAATATTTTTTGAATTTATTTTTTAACAAAATATATTAATTGTCAATTCTGTGTTCGAAGGGCAATTTTAATAGTTTTAAACAATCTTTTGTTTTTAATTTAAAGTATTTACAAGTAACAATTGTTTTACAATTTAAAAAGGACTTTATGTTAAATTTATATTTAAGTGGCACAGGAAGTTAATATTACAGCCCTGAACTGCTAGCTAGTCAAAATCACTGTACGGCGTGTACTTTATGAACTATATTTCTCAAGTTATATTGTTTATTAACAACAATTAAAAATATTAATACATTTGTTATTTTCTATTTATATTTTAATTAGAACAAACGCCGCAATAACAATATAAAATGTTAAATCAATATCTAATTTGATCAACATGGTAGTTTCTATGGAACTTGTATGATTCTGATTGGTTATTTGGAAAATCCATAATTGCATGTGAATGCGCAGAACCTGATTTTTAAAGATTTGCGCATAAGTGAAGGACTTCTCCCACTCATTTTAATAATTATTTCCTGTTTCTTCTCCAGTTGTTCTTTCTGTCCCCATCAACGGCACGGGTGAGATATGTTCTTTATGTTATATAACATTTAACGTAAATATTACGTTTAAATTTCTTATTTATCGTTTACTTTATTAAATTTTGAAAAATTAATTTCATTCTGTCACGTTATTTTAATAATTAAAATACCTGTTTATTTTTAATTGTCTACAGAAATCTTTGCCGTAATTACACACGTTATTCATCAACAACAATTGTTTTTTTTTGTGGGGATTTGAAAAGCAGAGGACAATAACATCAAACATGTAAGTAAAATTTGCTTATAGAACAATTTGATTATTATTTAACTTATGTTCGTCGTGAACGTTTTATAACGTGATGCGCTATATGAATGTACCATTTGATATTTCAAGTTTGTACATTATAACTTCATTGTGCTTATAAATATATACCATAATTCATATTATTTGAATGATTTAAAATTCATATTTCTCAATTTTGTGTAAACAGTCATTGTTGAAATATTCATTTTTTTTACGAGCTCAATAATGGATGATGAGTGATTTGTCATCTCAAAAGAGTAATGGCGGCTTGAAAGGTGAATTCACTGTTTTTACAGCCATTTTTCAGCATTCTATGGAATAAAAAAATTTAGGGTCTATTTTTTAATGTGCAATTTAGCAATTAATGTTAAAATTTGAAATTAAAAATTTTCGGATACAAATTTCACTTAGCACGTGGAGTGTTACTTCCGGGATGCTTATCTATGATGAAACATTATGCTTTATTGATTTATATAACCAGTTTCGGTTTTATGTGACGTATGCTTGCTAAATATTATTTTTTTAAAATGTTAATTCGCGTAATTCGGCGTTCTTTTTTCCTTTTTTTTAAAAAAAAAAAAAAAATGAGCCAGAAGACTTGTCAAGTTGAAGTACATAGTCTAATCTGAAAAATTTAGTATATCTATGTTTTTCTTTTCAAGAGCGAAGCTAAAACTATTTCTGTTTTTCAAGGATACGCACGTTTAGTGGTGTACTTGGAGTTTTACGCCGGTTAGTATTTAATTTTAAAAATATTTCATATCAAGTTTTGCTGATATGAATCCCGTTGTCCATGTGAAATTTATTTGAAAATTGTATCTACTTAGGCAGAAATTAAATAATTGAAATTGAAATTATGTATCTGAAAATATCGATATTTAAAAAAAAAATAATGAATTAATATGTACTAAAATGTGTTTTATTATAATTAGTGTAAAAAGTCACTAATTTTCGTTATTGAAAAGAAAATTGCTTAGTTGAATTAGGGTGTCTAACATGTTAGTGAGGTTCAAAAGTAGCGCATTTATTGATTTTTCGAGGTAGACACGCTTGATGAATTTTTACCGATATGTAACGCTTTTTTATTCATGTCAAGGAAATTTTCTGAATCAGAATTGAACTTTTATAATTTGTTAGGCACCCTGTAAACATTTTTGGAGTTAATGAAAAAATTATTACTTAGTGACAATCGACCCTTATTATAATTTTTATTAAAAAAAAAAAAAAAAAAAAAAAAAAAAAAAAAAAAAAAAAAAAAAAAAAGGGAATGAATATTGACGATTATATTTTCAGTAAAGTTTTTAGTTTGGATAAATTGAATTTTACTAACAAAAAAAAAAGCCCTTCCATTTTGGCATGCCTTCATTTTGTCACTTCAATGGAGCATGAATGCTTGTGGAAGGGAGATTAATTTGTGAGCTATGCCTTCGGAGTCCACACATTATGTCTGGAACCGTTTCTCAATGTTCACTACAATTTTATTTATAAAAATTGAAAAAGACCATTTTTCTATTTTTGGAATTTGTATTTTAATTATTTTTATTTTTTTTTTTTTAACAGGACTTACGGAGGATACCGTAATGGTGCATCAACAAACAATCGCATGGGAGGCGGTGGCGGAGGAAGTGGAGGACAAAGGAATGGATATCATGGTAGTGGAGGTGGTTCACGATTTGGTGGACGCGGAGGAGGTGGCGGTGGCAACAGCTACGGTGGAAATACACGAAATGTTAATAATCCAAAACTTTCTGGAGGCAGTTTGAGAAAACCAAATTGGGATTATGAAAATTTGAAACCTTTCAAAAAAGACTTTTACATTCCCCATGACAATGTTCAATCGCGTCATGTTCGTGAAATTGAACAATTTAGAGATGAAAATAAAATAACATTAAAAGGAACAAGAGTTCCAAATCCAATAAAATATTTTGAGGAAGGTAATTTTCCCGATTATGTAATGCAAGAAATTAGAAAACAAGGTTTCAATGAACCAACACCAGTACAAGCACAGGGCTGGCCCATTGCTATGTCTGGACAAAATATGGTTGGAATTGCCCAAACTGGCTCTGGAAAGACCCTTGGCTACATTTTACCTGCGATTGTTCATATTAACAGTCAACAACCATTAAATCGTGGTGATGGTCCTATTGCATTGGTGCTTGCACCAACACGTGAACTTGCACAACAAATTCAATCAGTGGCAAATGATTTTGGCTCATTGTCATATGTTAGAAACACATGTATTTTTGGCGGTGCGCCAAAAGGACCACAGGCTCGTGATCTTGAGCGTGGTGTTGAAATTTGTATCGCCACACCGGGACGTTTGATTGACTTTTTAGAACGTGGCACGACCAATTTACGAAGATGCACGTATCTTGTTCTTGACGAAGCTGATCGCATGTTGGACATGGGATTTGAGCCACAAATTAGAAAAATCATTGAACAAATCAGACCCGATAGGCAGGTTCTTATGTGGTCTGCTACATGGCCAAAGGAAGTACGCAATCTCGCTGAAGAATATCTTACTGATTATATTCAACTTAACATCGGTTCACTTACTTTGGCTGCTAATCATAATATCCTTCAAATTGTTGATGTTTGCCAGGAACACGAGAAGGAGACAAAGTAAGTTCTTTTTTTTTCAAAAGAAAACAATTTTATAAAGAAAAAAATTTTAAATCAAATTTTTTAAAATTGTTAAATGATGAAATGATATAAATGAAAAGTTATGATTTTATCAACTTTTTACCTCTGAGAAGAACTGATTAATAATTAAAAAATTTTAAGTTTGAAATATTTTCATAATGACGATGATATTTATAATTTTTTTTTTTTTAATTTTCAGATTAGGAACTTTACTTCAAGAAATTGGCAATGCCAATGATGACGGAGGAAAAACTATTATTTTTGTCGAAACTAAGAAAAAAGTTGAGAACATCACAAGAAACATTCGTCGTTATGGATGGCCTGCTGTTTGCATGCATGGCGATAAATCACAACAAGAACGTGATTATGTTCTCAAAGGTATTTTTTTTCATCTAATTTTGAATTGAAATATAATTTTGTACATTTTTTTTTAATTTTATCGTCTTCATTTCAGAATTTAGAAATAAAAGAGGTGGAATTCTTGTAGCAACAGATGTTGCTGCCCGTGGTCTAGGTGAGTTTTTAATTAATTTCTTCTTAACTTAAGTCAGAGGATTTCGGTTTCGCGTTTTAAGATAGAAAAAAAAAAAATTAGAAAGATTCAGGGAGGTGGCGATGTAGCACAGACTGGTTATATGAAGTGATGCCTTACTCGTGGTAAAGTTAGATATTTTTCTATAACACTATATCTTACAATTCTATTAAAAAAAGGGAATATTTTTTATAATAGTTTTGATTGACATTATTTTATAGAAAAAGGAAAGCTAATTTTTAATCGGAAGATAAATTTTTTACACATTGGCTTCAAGACTTATATACTTTTTTTGCAATTTCTCAAACTTAACATAAGCTGAAGGATACGATAGAGGGCATTAGACAGTTAAAAAATTTATTTTCTATTTTTTCGTAAATTTAAATTCGTATTAGGATTTTAAAGGTAATTATTCTTTCATAGATGTATAGAGTTCTAGTTTTTTAAATAACGAAACCCTTTTTTTTAATATAATTTCTCTTTTAGTGTATAAACATTTTTTAAATATTTGTTTATAGTTTAATTAACAAAAAAGGGTGTCCACTGTAATTTCAAAAATCCAGTTTTCAAATTTTGATAATAATTTACTTTTTTATAATTGATTAGTCATTGCAATAAATGGTAGACACTCTTTGAAAGGGGGCGCTAATGCAATCTATTCGACGTTTAAAAGAATGTCGAAAGTGTTTGTCGTTTGATATCTACCTTCAAATTTATAAATTAAAATAGGGAATATTTCTGTATTTGTAAGGTAAGATAATTTTTATTAATATTTTGAAAATATGTTTCGTTAAAAATGGAAAAAAAAAATTGTCATGAGTTTAATTTCTGTAAATTGGTGAGTTTGATATCAATCGAAAGCATAGGCTTGTGTCAAGAAATTGAGAAGAAAACATTTAAAATCTAGAATCTAATTATATAAGTGGGCATCTTAGATTTTATTTTAATCAGTCTGGTTGTCCTTTGTTTCAGAGGCACATGGTGCACAGTATGCGTTGAGTGTGCGATGAGCGAAATTCATCCCCATGGCTCACTCAGTGTCTGTGTTCCTTTGAAAAAGCTATATATGCCAAGTGATATATAGAAGTTATACATGCGCCTGTAGCAGGCGTGTTAAATGTGTACTCAATGTGCCTCTGTGTACTTTTGCCTGTGTACCACGAAGTTAAAAAAAAAAAAAAAAAAAAAGTAAATAAATATGGTGGTGCCCGGGTATTTTTTACTCGCGCTGGTTGGCTGGCTGGCTATGACTGATTTTTGCATATAACAATTACAACCATCACACCGACATTCAGCCCGTGCGAGACAACAATCTATTGATTTTGCTACAATCGCTACTTGATGGGAATGTGTGGTATATAGGAGACAAGACATTGCGTACACTGAACTTGCATTCAAGAATGGCACATCCTCGTTCGTGATGATGGAATGCTAAGTTCAATGGAGCAAAATAATATTTAAAAAATAAAAAAAAATATAAAAAAAAAAAAATGGGTTTGTATAAACTATGGTGCAGCTAACAATACATTCATACACGCTTGAGCCTTGTCGAAAAATAAGCATTGCAGTTATAACCAAAATGTAGTATGGAATATCATCTTGGACTGTCCAACTGATCAGGTATTTCCTTGGAAAATTAATTCACTTTTTATTCAAATAATTTTTATAACATGAAATTAGCTTTCACAAATTACACCAAGTGTTTTTTAATTACAAGATTCCGTCATTGTCAAATTAAAGACAATCTTGAATTCTTAATTTTGCTAAATACAATTTAACAATTACAATTTTAAAATTTCTTTTCGTATTATTTAATTTCAACTAATTTTTTTTTTCATTTTTCGAAATAAATATTTGCACATTTTAAATTTGCACACAATTTTATTTGATATTTTTTTTATAATATATAGTGGAAGAATGTTATAAATGAAAATTATTTGGAATAATAATATTTAAAAAAAAAAAAAAGTTTTATTTTATCAAAGATCAAATTTGCCTTCAATTTGACAATGATTTTATTTGATACTGCAAAATCTTAAGTGTTATGTCTGTATAGTGTATGAAAATGATTTAGGCTGCTCATTGCTTTTTTCCAAATTCAATTGTATATTTGCAATAAAAAAAAAAAACTTATAACAAAGTACCAAAATGTACGATTTTTTGAAAAAAAAAAAAAAAAAAAAAACAATTTCATAAAGTGGGGGTTTTTTGAGCTGAATACCGCTAGTTTTTTTGTAAAAATGAAAATTCAATTGGCTATAACTTACATTGTAAATTAACTTGTTTCTAATAAGATGTGAAACTATTTTTTCTAACGAGTTTTTTCTCTGTAGACGTTGATGACGTTAAATACGTAATAAACTTCGATTATCCACAATCGTCAGAAGACTATATCCATAGGATTGGAAGGACGGGTCGTAGTCAAAGCACGGGCACAAGTTATGCCTTTTTCACACCACAAAATTGTAAACAGGCAAAGGACCTCATAAGTGTTCTTAAAGAAGCTAATCAGATCATCAATCCAAAGCTCAATGAACTCGCATCGCGAGGAGGCGGTGGTGGTAGTTCTTATGGAAATAAAAGTAAGTATTTTGCAATATTTTTAGTTAAATTAATTTCAGTTACTTTCTACAATTTTATATAGTATCGAGAAAAATGAATTCAAAACAATTTTTGATAATTTTTAACAAGTTTCAAAGTTATTTTTACTTAATCATTTTTGGGTAAAATTTACTATTTTTTTTTAAGTTTTATTTTACATTTTTTATTTAATAATGTTCCTTTTTTTAGATCGATGGGGTTATGGAGGAGGAAGAGGAAGGGAAAACACATTCTCTGGATCGCACAAGAGATTCGACTCTTCTAGAAACTATAACAATTACAGTTGATTTGTGAGCCCTATTTCGAAACACCAGGTGGGGCAACAAACGATCTTTTAGGAAATTACTTTTCTTACTTTCATATATATATATATATTTATTAAAAATCAGAATTTTTATTTTAAATTTAAAATAAAAATTCTTTGCCCTTTTTTCTAAAAAAAAAAAAAAAAAAAAAAAAAGAATTAGTATTCTAAAGCTTGGATACATTTTTATCATTTATTGACGCGAAAATTTTCTCAGTATAAACGTCTGTTTGCTTTTGTCTAATTTTTCAGACGTTCCAGTTAATGAAAGATCGTTTCTTTACCGAGATAATAAACTAAAAAAAAAAATAGTAATACAATTAAAAAATAATTTTTCGTTAATTTTATTTTATTGAGTCAAACGTCTGAAAGTTATTATTTTTTTTATTTTTTTTTAATTATTTTTGACAAAAGCAAACAGACGTTTGTTTATAAATTTTCATTAACTTGTAGCAGGTTACAAGTAAAATTAATGAAAAAAATGAATAAAACTTTTGATAGCAATTACGGTAAATTTAAAAAAAATAACGTTTGCGATCACTGTTAGTCCAAAGATTAAATTTAATCTCGGTTTAGAACGAAATCTTCAGTATTCATTCCAACGTCTCAGAGTAGTCTGAGCATTGTTAAGACTATTCATTATAACTTTTTTTTTTTATCTTGATCATTAGAAAAAGAACTTTACCATCGACAAACTGTGTTAAAAATAACTTACAATACATGTAATATCATTTGGTAAATTATTGCACATCAATGTCATGTTTTAGATATGGAATAAAAAAAAGAGAAAACATTTTTGAGTTTTTCTTATAAAAAAAAGTTATATTTGTGTTTTCCTTGTAAAAATAATTATATATATATTTTTTTAATTAATTGATAAGGTTTAACTTGAAAAAATTAAATAGTGTTTTATATACCTAATGTTTGACAAAGATGATGATATCTACGAGCTAATGATGGCTTTTGCAAACAGCCGTAAAGTTCGTTAACCTTTAGACAATCGGTTTTCGTCATTGCTTTTCGTTGACCTGTTAATTTTACACCTGACCTTAGCGGTTCAAGGGTTGGCTTTCGTTTGCTTTTACTAAAATAATGACTTCCATAATGCATTATACTATCATAATCATATTCGTAATTGTAAGTTGTATTAGTTGCACTGTGTTTTGCGAAGTTTCCTTTAAATCCTGTAAATTTGAATTTTAAGAAACCAATTTTAATATTTTAATTTAAATTTAACCCAAATTACTTACTTGATATAATATTATTGAAATTGACTTTCACAAATTTATCGCGATCAGCTCTACTTTGCTCGTGAAAAATTCCCAAAGCATGCATTAATTCGTGAACTGCTTTCCCCTCAGTTCCTAAGCAATTGGGACCTTTTTCATCAGGCGGTTGTAATGACAAAATTTGTACGCCTCCAGTTTTTCCCACATATGACCAACAACTTTGAAAAAAATGCAATTCAATTATTTTATATGATATTGATATTTGTTACAAATATTTATATATTATACAAACCCTTGTGGATATTTTATTGGCCATATTACAACAAAATCTTTAGCTTCTCCATTCCATGGAATAAATTTTACACATGTCATGTAATTCAAATACGTTAACGCTTTATAAATAGTAACATAATCAGATGGCTCTAAAAAAAATAATGTTATATAAATAAATTTTAATAATTAATATTTAAGGTTTTTAATATAATTACATGTTGAAAACATACTGTAAAGTGGACTAATTACATAGGGTACTGTTCTTTTTTCCCATATTTTTTCTGGAAAAACGTCCCATCGTAAACCAATTCGCCAGTGATTGTAATACTAGAAATATAAAATTATTTATTTAAAGAAAAAGGATTACTTTCTTTTGCAATATAGGTAGATTTTAATTAATTAGAAGAAATCAAATTATAAATTTTCTATAATTCAAATTTTTAAAAATTCTTACTTCATTGGACATGGCTATATCCCCTTCAAATAGTCCAGGACGCACTTCCGGATCCTGATCTGAATTTTGAAGAATCTTTAAATCTTCCGATGATATTTTTGCTATAAAATTTTTAATTATATTATTAAAAATTACAATAGATGACACCACTTTGTTATATGCAAAATTTAATTACTATATAGAATTAATTAAGCAATAGAAGGTAATGTGTATAGAACAATTGTTGTTTTGTACAATTTTATACCTATATCAGGAACAACAGGATGTATTTCATTTGGAACTTCAAATATAAACTCATCTTGTGGGAGTGCACTCACGAAAAAACAATAAGGTAATATAAATAAAATAAACATAATTATATTTTATATTTATACAGAAGTTAAAGCTTCTCGACTATCTACTACCTGATACAGAATTATTAACAACTAATATATAGACCTCCGATCTAGTGAAATGAAGGTCAGTGTGAAAATATGTCAAGCAATAAAAAATAAACTTGATTTAGATACATATATTATTAATTAATAAATTTGTTTTTATTTTATTGTTGAATGAAAACTTGTTATACAAGTTATTCATATTCGCGCCAATTCTATAATAAATTTATTCGAATTTTTAATTTGTTAAATAAAATTAATGATAATTAAAAAGGATTTTAGAAAATTAGGTCAATCATTATTTTCTTTTATTATTTTAATTATTACGTAAGTTATATTATTTTTAAAATAAGATCAACACGCCAATGGATCACGTAGTCGTTGGATCATGGACATAAGTGACACAACTTTGATGCGTAGAACAACAAAAATGTTTGTTTACATTTTTTCTTGTGCATTTCAAGAATTTATTGAGTTAATTTTTGATATTTAAAGTAAAATAAGATTTTAATTGACATAAGCAATTTATAATTAGTGAAAATTTGTGTAGAGAAAAAGTTAGAAAACACTACCGGATGAAGGAAAGAAAATTTTGAGGTTAGAATTTATTTGTCATGAGTATATCTTATTTTATTGTTTATAATAAATATTAATTGGTATGTTTTGTAAATTTAATATTTATTATATTAAAAATATTATTATCATGTGCAATAAATTGTTATTTTGAGTAAATTTTTAATAATAATTCTATATTTTGTATTGATCTCCAATTGAAGCACATGTTTTATTCTTTGTGTGCGCGACCACATTTCTATGATTAAAAATAACAATTTTTTAACGTTTCAACACAGTCAATGAAGTTATTGAGACAGGATAGAACATGGATGAATCCCTAAAACTTGCAGAACCATCATCTGCAGCCTTTGCAGGTGCTGTTAGTGGATGTATAACGAGACTATTATTTCAACCATTAGATGTAGTGAAGACAAGATTTCAAGTAAATATTACATTCTTTTTAATTGCTTCAAGTATTTGATTTTTTTTTTTAATAATAACATCATGTAACTTATCGTTTAAGTTAATGTTTTGATTGGTTATTTCTACAATGACCTATTTTTAAGTTTTTCACTTTTTGAGTCTTGAATTTTTTATGTTCGCTATACATATAAATGAAAAATTGATTATCTTATGAAACCAATTCAAAACATTGATATTTACGTTTTTTTTTTTAGCTTCAAGTTGAACCAATAAAACACCATTCTGTAAGTAAATATCGTTCGTTGCCACAAGCATTTGCATTAATTGTCAAGGAAGAAGGTGTAAGTGCATTATGGAAAGGACACGTGCCAGCGCAATTATTATCTATTGTTTACGGTATGAGCCAGGTTGGTCAAAATAATTTAATCAAGGGTTTTTAATATGCTTAATAAAAGCAGTTAATTATTTAGTTCATGATTTTAAGCTTATATATATATATACAAAAATTTAGATTAAAATTATTTGAAAATACATGAATTAAAAATATTTTGCTTGCATCATTTGATAAGAATTATACATTATGCTAATAATAGCTGCGAATAATTCATTATTTCATTTTGTTGCTTCTGATAAATAATTATGAATTGTGATTATGCAAGTGACACAATGCGAGCTTTGCTTTTCTCAAAATTAGTTTTATTTATGATTTAATGACCTCTTTAAGACTTGAATTTTTTAAAGACCGTAGGTCTTTAAGGGTTAATTAACATGTAGATATCTTCATTTTTTAATGTTATAATAGTTCTCACAAATGTTTCTTAAAAGCTTAAAACAATTTAATTGTTATTTAATATTAAGCCATATTTCATTTAGATTTATAGAATATTTTATAATAATGAAAAAGAATTATTAAAAATTTGTTTAGAATAATTATTCTTTACATAGAAATTAGAAAATAGTTTCTAAATTTATTTCTGAAATATGGATTTTTATTTTTTTAGAAATATCTCCAAAAATTGCAAAGAAGTATTCTAGACATATAAAGGGAATATGGTACAAATTGGAAATAAATTCTTTTTGAATAAAATTATTATTTGCGTAACTCACAATTTTTCAAATAATTTTTTTTTTTTTTTTAATTAAAAACTTGACATCGGTTTAAATAAATAATTTCTATTGTTTACAGTTTTATTCCTACAATTTAATAACACAACATTTAAATCGATATCAAATTGTTCATGAATGGAGAAATACATTACATTTTGCTGAAGGTGCAATTGCTGGAGCTGTGAGCACAACGTTAACGTTTCCATTTGATACGATAAGAACAAGATTAATTGCTCAATCAACAAAGCACAAAGTTTATCATGGATTATTTCATTCTTGTTTGTAAATATCCAAAAATAGTTTATTTACCTTTAAAAAAAAACCCGTGATATTAAAGTTTTACATTTCTGGAATATTCCATTTGCTATTAGAATATTCAATATTTAAGAGAATTTTTTTTTTTTTTTTATAAGGTACATTATTTTTAAATTCTGATGAACACGTTTATAATTCTTTTTTTTTCCATTCTAGATCCATTTTTCGGGAAGAATCTTCAAAAGCTTTTTTCCGCGGCTTACTACCAACAATTTTACAAATTGCTCCTCACACTGCCTTTCAATTTTATTTCTTTGGAATATTTAAGGACCTTTATGTTAAGATTACCGATGATTCCAGTACTAGCATAGCAGGTACTATGACAGCAGGAAGTCTTGCCGGACTCGCAGCAAAGACGATTATATATCCATTTGATTTGATAAGAAAACGACTTCAAATTCAAGGCTTTCAACATGGAAGAAAAGGATTTGGAGTTTTCTTTCACTGCACTGGAATGAAAGATTGTGTTATAATAACAATTAAACGAGAAGGTGTTAATGGACTTTTCAAAGGTTTGGTGCCGAGTCAGGTGAAGGCTGTAGTAACTACTGCTTTACATTTTACAATTTATGAACAAACTTTAGTTATTATGCAAATTTTGAAAGAAAAATATTAGCTCCTTTTTTTCGATATGAGAATTTACAGAAGCCACATTGTGTTTTACAGTTTTAGAGACAATTTACATATTTTTTTAGTTTAGTTAGTTTATTTTTTTAGTTTAGTATTTTTCAAAGAGAATAGGAAATTTTTGAAAAGGAATTGAGCTGAAGTTCTTGACATTAGAACTGAGTAAAAAAAAATAATTCAAAAAAAATGCTGATGATAATAATACTATAAAACCTTTGTGTACTTAATTGTAATTATTTTTAAATTAAATTTAAAAATAAGTTAACAATTATATTAAAATCATATCAAAATTAATTAAATTATACAACTTTAATTTCTAAATATTTCTAGTAATGTATATATAAGTAACTATTATAGATTTTTGATACACTAAAAATTATATATAGTTAACTATATAAAATTAGAAATTTTCTATATGAAATTTGAAAAATCAGACTAATTTTTATCATTTCTGATTTAAGGAACTTGAACCCAATCTGTGAAGAAATTTTTAATTAAAGGATAAAAAAAATGATTTTTCAAAGAAAATAGTTATAAATAGTATGGCATATGTTTAAATTTGCAAGATACTCGAATACACAGTATTTATTATTAAAATATTATATATAGTATTCAAAGCATAAATTAATCAAACCCTCAAAAGTTGGAGGATAATTATTTATTTAAAACGTGATTAAAATTAAAGATTAACCAAAATAATAATGAAAACTAAATGTATTAAACAAAATAGTGATAAAATATTGAAATGTTAAATAAAGCAGTGATTAAATTCAAATATTTAATGAAATCAGAAGTAATTGCAAATATAAAACAAAAAACAGTTATTTATAATCAAATTGTTTGTTGAGCATGTGAAAATTTAATTTTATTATTCACATTTACATTTGTAATTTAATCAAATTTAGATTTTCACTTTAAATAAAGATCTTTCAGTTTCTAGCTATGTACATGAATACACTTTTAATAAATAGAGAAGAATACAATTATATATTATTAGTTGTCTATCGACGATAAAAGATTTTTCAAAATTAAATAGAAATCTCCTTGTAAGTAGACTTTAAAATTGACATTTCATTTACAATAATTCTTAAGGATCAGTTTATTTTATTTTGAATAGAAATGTCATTCTTTGTGTTTTTTTACAGAAAATAATTTGCATGATGATAAATATTTGAAAATATAATGAAAAAAATTGTTTTTATATTTAAAAATTTTCAAGTTAAGAAACTTTTTTTGAAAAAAATTGGAAACCATAAAATTATTTCTGAAATGTATAACGTAAAATAAACGTATAAAATACGTATCATTTAAAAATTAGGTCACAACATTTCGACTCGAAATAAAACGAACTTGGCCCTTAAGACAAATACTTATTATTAGTCACTGGCCTTGGTTTCGCTTACAGCCAAGAAAATGATTTATAATGAAACTTGCTATCCATAACTTATCGTATAACCCATAGAAAGCATTAGTGTTTCTTTTATAGCTGGATGTAGTTGTCTTTCAATATATTGCGTTAATGCTTGACTCGCTCCTTTTAAAAATACATCTTCCATTTCTCTAGCAACATTTTCTCTCGATTGCCAATCTCTATTAATCCCCTCAAAATCATCAGGCAATTTTTCATCGATAAGAATTTCCCTTGTTTCACGTGGTGCTTCATTTTTCATAATATTAATATCCTCATTATTAGAATAATTTGTAATTATTTTCTCTTCATTTAATTTCCATTTTGGAACTAGTGTGACATTACCAATAGTTATTGAACTATTTCTTGCCACCCATTTTGCTAAAGCTGCTGCAAAATCTTTTGGATTTATTCTTTCAGTTGTGATTTTAGTTTCATTTATGTGTGATAAATTTTTTGACTGATTACGAAATTTCTCGTATTTGCGGTTTTTTCCAACAATTTGAAATGGTCTTATTCGCCTCTGAGTTTTAGTATCATTGCGAATGCCAGTATTATTTATTTTACTGTTAGGTAATTTTAAATTATGAGCAAAATTTTCCAGTGATCTTCTTTTACGATTATCCGACCTCGTGATCCAGTTACTTTTACGCCATATTCCTAAACGGGCATCTGGCGCATATAATTCTCGAGATTGTCGACTTTCGTTAACAATAGCAACATCTTCTTCGTTAGCGACACCAACTAATTCACGTGGTTCGGCTGCCTCGTAATTCATTTGAGGAGATATTGGAATTACCTTTAGCTGTAAATTTTTTTAATTATGATTGTTAAATAAAATTATAATAATTAAAATTTTTTAACCAAATTTACTAATTTATATATTTTATTTAAAAAAAAAAAAAAAAAATTGGTTACCTCATCATCAGGTCTATGATGTGGTGGCCATTTATCCTGTCTCTTAATTTGTTTCTCAATTCTGGCATTTGGACGACAACCGTACGCATAGATGGAGGCAAATCTGGGTTCCATGAAACTAGATTCCGTCCGAATTCGCATAGTTCCTCGTCCTCGAGCAATGGGACTTGTATAAAATTCAATACCGGCTCGTCGAAGTCTCAAGGTCATTCGACAGGATTCTGAAGGAAAATGAGCTCGATAATCACGTGGAACCAATGATACCAAACCAGAAACTGATAAATCATTAAATAGAACTCGCGTTTGAATTGAATTATCATTTGGCTCATAGGAACATTTTTCAACTTGAGCCCAAGGTCCACCACGAGTATTTGCATCTAGCGGCAGCTGCAGGTAAATTCAATTTTATAAATTTTATCGATTAAAAATTACCTCAAAATATTAATTTGAATTTATTTTAAAAGTTTTACTTATGATTTTTTGAAAACAAATTTTTAAATTAAAAATTTTTTTAATAAAAAATTTTATTTTCCAATACCTTTACAGCAACTCGAGATACTGTCATTTCAAGAGGTGCCGTTTGAAGTTGTTGGTGATATGCAACACTACTGTCATCGTCATCGAGTCTATTTCTTCTGATCGATTCTCGATGAAGAGCATCTAAAGCCCGCTCCAATCTGATTCCACATCCGTCATAAATTCCGCCGGTTAGTGGCACCGAATTTATCGGTGTCATCGTCAGGAACAATATCACTGGCAATCGGAGAGGCATTTCCTTTTGAAAGTTGAAAAAAAAGGAAGTTATTATTTTCATATATTGCATAATTTACTTTCTGTTGTGCACGTGCTTCACGCAAGTAAGAAAAAGTTTTACACATTTTTTTTTTTTTTTTGAAAAAAATTATTATTTTCCACACTATGAACTTGTTTGATTTGTCTTCATTTTTGTATTTTATTTTTTCTATTATTTTAATTTTGTCTATTATATTTCATTAAGTTTGTAAATTAAGTAATTTTGTTTTGGTGATTATTTTTTTTTTTTTTGTTTTCTGAAAAACATTTTTATCTCGTTTCCTCTAATTACTTGATATTAAATTAGCGGAAAATTTTATTTTTAAAACTGGTCCAAATTAGAGGAACCAAAATTTGAAATGGAATCTTTTCGGTAGAAAGATTTTAAAGCTGGAACGTAATATCCTTTTTAATAATTCTTTATTATTGTCAGATCATTGTGATTTAATAGAAAAAGGCAAAATAATTTCAAAGAGAGTGAAAAATTCATTTCTCTCTCTCTCTCACTCTGGAAAAAATAAATAAATAAAGCGTTGATATTTTGTTATATCCATAAGAGAGCTTATCGTGCTATGAACCTGACGTCCCTGCGTCATTAAAATATCTCCGCAGGCATATCCTGTAGAAACTCGGTGAATTCGAGCCCGCTGAAACAGAGCATGAACGTGTCTTTCTTCCTTCAACGACAGAATGGTGAAACTAGGAAAGAATAATTTTGATAGTGGGCAATATTCAATTTTAAATAGACAACATTCAGAAATCACATACACTTGTCAAGATCTTGGAGCAGTCTACTCTCGTGAGCGTATATATAGTAAAAAAAAATGCCTCAAGCGACAAAAGTGACCTAGTAAACAAATCTTACAAGACTTAAATTATTTTTAGTTTATAATTATTATTATTAATTTTAATTATACAAATAATTAAAATTATCTTAAATTTTTTTTTAAAATCAAATCATTGAAATTATTTCCAAATAATTTCAATTTTAAATAATAATTCGAAAAAGTCTAAATATTTGACTGATAACTAAAGCCAAATGAAAATCAACTGAAAATTAAAAATTATACATTGAAATTAATTTTTAATGTAAAAATTGAAAATGTCTTGGAAAAAAATTTATAATTGTTATAAAGGATATTACGTTGTAGCGTTAAGAGATTTAAAGGACTGATATTTTCACAACTTTTAAGACAATTGAGACAATATAAGAATGACGACATATTGAGTCTGTACTTGTATGTCATCATTTTCCGCGTCTCCAGATTTTTTTGATAATTCATAACATAAAAGAATATTATGAAAAAATTGGAAATAATAAAGTAATAAAATAGTAAAAAATAAAATATTTCTTAAGAAGACATTTATCTATATTTTAAAATCATTATAAAGTTTATTGAACGTATTATCTAATAAGTGTCATTGAACTAAATCAAAATTGCGAATCTCCCTCTTATCTGAATCTCCTGTTTTGTAACAAAAAGCGGTTGTATGCTAATGATGAAGTCAATCTAAAATCGATGATTTCTCAATTTCCTATTACACGTAATCGAGATCAAACTATTATATTGACTTTAAACTTCCGAATATACCTTAAAAATGGCAAATATGCATCAAATTGTTACGCACGTACATAAATGCAAATACATATTGCACTTAAGTGTTCCAAGAGCAGAACGAGACGCGTTCTTATATGCTAATGTTCAATATACGGAGTTTGCTCTCGACTTTTTTTTTGTGCTTCGTTGACGCCATACGCATGAATTTTTTAATTTAAAAAATGCCGAAAAACGGGATTTATTTATTTAATTTTACTTTATATTAAAATTATTATAAAAATTTATTTCCACAAATTAGAAACTTAATTTGCTTCATTCATCAGACAAATTAATCTTCAGAGATTAATTCAAACTTCAAAGCGAGGAAAAATTAAAACATAATTTAAAATTATTAAACAATTTAGACAATTTTAAAGTAAATTAAAAAATAGAAATTAAAAATTTACAATTATGATTTCATTTTTTTCAATTTAAAAAAAAATTAATTTTTGATTTAAATGTATGCTTTGTTTAATTTTTGTTTGTTCTTTCAATTAATTTTTCTATATTTTTATTAACTTTAATTATTTATTTCTTTAAAACAGTTATAAAGGATATATTTTTATTAATTTTTTTTACTTAGGAATTATTTTTGTAATTATTGTAAAACTTTTAACATAACTTACCAGGAATTTTTTTATTGAGTCACTATTTCGTTATAATTGCCAATTTGAATTTTAATTGGTCCCACGTGAATGAAGTGAACCCCAGAAAATTTTTACAATTCTTCTACCCAAAAATGTCATTAATTGGATCATACTTCAAAGTGAATCCTGAAAAAACGAATTTTTAATAATTAAGGACAAAACTTTGTGATTTTCTATTTATTTCTCTGATAATTTTTTATTTAAATGAAAAAATATAATTTAAATAATAGAAATTATTAATAACTATTGCAATAATAATGGTATACAAAAATTAATAAACTAAAAAATAAAATTAATAAATTTAAAATGTTTAGAAAATTATAGCGTGTTTAAAGAACTTAATGTTTTTTTTTCAAACTAATTTTTTTTTTCGAATAATTTATTGAATGAATAGAAAATAATAATAATTATTATGATAATGAAAAGAGATTTAAATATAAATTCTCTCGATTCACATAAATAAATATAAAAAAATGAAGATTCACGCGTTAATGAACTAGTACGGAAATGAGTATTGTATTACGAGTATGTGAATTTGTATAGAGAAAGTAAGAAAGTGCAGAAAATGAATAAATAATAAATTCAGATTAAAATTTATTTTTAAAAAGTGCACAAAAAAGTGTCATATAATTTAATTGGAAAATAAAATTTCACTCACTTTAAAAAAGTAAAAAAATTTCCACGTTTGCAAATTTTTATCCTTTTAAATTTCTTACGATTCACCTGTCACTTTCATGTTTTTTTTTTTAAACAAACAATTACTGTTTCTAAAAAAAAAAAATTATTTTTGAAATTGTAAAATATTAATTTTAAATTTAATTTAAATTGAATCTATATATGCAAGAATTTGTACCTATAAAATTGAATTTATATTTATTTTTTTATTTTTTCTTTTCTATTTTACTTGCAACTTACAGACACAAGAGATCAAACAACAATGAAAGTGCCAACTCAAGTTGTATGGTTCTTGAAGCAAGTTGTACCAAACCGTCTTCCTTTCTTTCTGTGATTTCATGGAAGACGCTAGTAGGAGCCTTTACGATCAGATTGAATCTAGAACACTGGTATATGTAGAATGGAACCGGATTGCAGAGTTCCTAAAATTCTGACATAACGTAATATACATTGTGTCTCCTATCTTTAGTTTACATATACAGCATACGTAAATAAGGTACTAAATTAAATTTTTTAATTCAATTAAATTTTATTTGTCTCTAATATAAATGTAAATACAAAATTTCTTTATTAAAAAATAGATTTATCAAATTAGAATTTATATTTTTGAAATTTTCTCAATAATTAAAATATTATTTCAAAATAAAAGTAATTAGAATAATAGAGTTTACAATACAATTACGAAAATAATGTATTATACAATATTAATGTAAATTTAAATTTGGTGAAAATTTAAATTTTCCCGCTATAACTGAATTTTGAAAATTTTTCATGGGATTCCCTTGATAACACTATCAATGGGGGATTCCCATGTGGAGAATTAGGAAAATTTCTTACAACTCTGTATAATTGGTTGCATAATCCTCTGGGAATCCCCGAAGAATATAGAGAAAAATAAATTTTAATTATTTAAATATAAAATTAAACTCGTAAGTAACTTTAAATAATTCGATTAGCGCAATACAAAGAGTATTTCATAAAAAAAATGTTAAATAATTCTTTAAATCTAAATTTTGCTTATATAATTTTAAATAACAGTTAAAATAATTCTAAATTTTTATTTACAATTATTTTTTTTCCATTCAATTTGAATAGAATTAAATTTAGCACCTACCAGCACCATCTATGGGTTTATAATATAAATAGAAAAAAATTAATTTTTTTATTATTCAGAGAAAAATTTAATTAACTTTTATTTATAATTTTTTATTTGTAAACTTCAAATAATTTGAATTATTGTAAAAATCAATTTAATTGAGTATTTGAAATATAACTATTTATCGTTAACGCCTGACTCATAGCAACCGCTTTAGCATCACAGTGTAAAATTAGTCATTAAATAAATTTTTGATTTTTAAAATAATTTTAATATTAACAATTTCTGAAAAGAAATTTTTAATGTAAATACAAGACAAAATTTTATTTTAATTTTAATTTAAACATTTACAGAAATTAAATGAATTCTCAAATTAATGTGAGATATATATTTACATCTCTGCAATAAAATAGATCTTTCACAGGAGTAATTTTGAATGTAATAACTATTACACAAAAAAAAAATTTTAAATAATGTTAAAAAAATATTTTAAAATATTTTTTTGAAAAACGATTTTGATAAAATATTCATAAACTTTTGATAAATTGAAATAGAATAGAAATAAATAACTATATAGAAAAAAAAATAACAATAAATAAATAATTAAGATTACTATAAATAAACAAATCAATAAAATATCTGAGTTTTATCAAAAGTATATTATTTTTCACAACAGCGAAGCGCATGACAAACAATTGCTGACGTAATAAAAACGTTTGGAAATTTCGTTGCTAAGCAAATTAAACATTTACAAAATTTGCAGTCAATACTAATTTTTAATTATTGAAATAAATGGAATTATTTGCAATAATACGAACAAAACTTTTTTATAATAAAAAGTGCATTAAGAGAATAAAACAATATTAATAATTTAAAAAAAAAACAAATATGAATTATTTAATTGCTTGTGAAAAATTAAATAAATAATATAATAAACTAATTACAATTTGGATAATTAAATAAAATGAAAAAAATAATAATAATTCAAATATATTTTTTGTTTTAATTTATTAAAAAACTAACTTCAGTGTAATAACAGAAAATTTTTTTTGTAAAATATAAATGACAGATTATTTATATTGATAAACAATCGAAAATAATTTAATCTTTAATATGTAATTAAAAAAAAAAAAAAAAGTATTGACAATTGAAAAGTGACTAAACAGAAAGGATGATCATCAGTAAAAGGACACCATATCATCTTTTTCACACGATTTCCCTTCAAGATTTTCAGCCGGAAGTCAAATATCGACGGGGAAAAAAAAGTCAAACGTGTCATTGGCATCGACAAACGTTTCCCACCTCCTACACCTCGAGGGAAGATTGAGTTCACTCAAGGACCAGATTCACATTTCGGAATCAGGGTAAGTTCACAGAAATTGTCCCTTATTTACCCTGGTGGTGAAGATTAAATATAGATCGTACTTTTATTTTTAGTCCCTATTTTTTATCAAGGTTATTATAATTATTATTTTACTATTGCTTTCTATAAAGAATAATTTTTATATTTTTAAATGTAGAAATTAATTTCTTTTCAATTATTAAAATTATTTTTTTATTTCATCAAATTTGAATAATAATAATAATTATAAATAATTATTATTTTCTCGGATGACAGAATACAAAATATTGGCAATATTCAGTTTCAAATATCGCTTTTGTTGGAAACTAATTTTTTTTTGTGAAATCGAATAGAATATTTTAAATTTTAAATTTGTGAATGTAATGTCAATATGAATCCAAAATCAATAGTCCAACAATAAAGTCACGTATATATATATATATACCTATATGTATATATAGATATATTGCTCGAGGCGGGGAAATGTTGGATCCATAATCACCTGTTCTTGGTAACTATATAGATATATGTCTAAGCGTGACTTCCTTTCACATTGGCCGATATTCGTACCCACGCAATGAATGATGTGATTCCTTGATAAGGTGTTAACCGAATTTTTAGACTTATTTTATTTTCTTCTCGGTTTCAAGTCCGTGGGAAGTACTTTCAATGGACATTTAAGGCGCTGTATTTAAAGAGAAACAAATAAGGAAATTGTGCCTCATTCATGATCATATAAAGAATATACTCAACACAAATATTTCTTAATAAAAAAATATATATATATATATATATAATTTCGTTATTTTTTTGAAATTTTTAAATGTTTGTAGAAATTTTCATTCTTGGAAAAATTTTTTGATTTTCAAAAACATATATATTTTTTTATTTAGAAAATCTTTCTTCTAGAGAACAAATAATTTTCAATATTTAAGTATTCAGTGAAAATATTATTTGCGACATTGAGAAAATATTTTGGTATACTGTAACTTATTCTGTTTTATGTTCCGGTTGCTGACGTGATGTTACTTCTGCTGAATTATGCATCTTCAATTTTCTCGCAAGTGTCAAAGACTGGTGCATTGATCCATATAGAAAACCACTATATAGTTTTTTTCAAAAATGCGTAAAAAATTCTGAAATTTAAATCAAAGAAAATAAATTAGAAACAAAATTTGATTACAGATGAAAATTTGATAATAAAAAAAATATTATTTTTTTTAAATCAAATTTTATAATATAATAAAAATGATAAACGTTTTTATGTTGAGAAATTATAATTTTGTCTTTAATTACGTCTACTTTTAAGAGAGACTAACCCACACATATAATGTTCAATTCAGATACTGGATACGTTCATTGCACAGCAGACTGTTGTAGACAAAAGAAGACGCTGAGGATTCGAATTACTAACGGGGAAACTCCAACTAAATTAGTCCACACTGAACGAGTCTGCTAGACTTGCACAGTGTCAGCCATTTATAGTATTCACTGTTTCACCCTTCTTTACACTCAATAACATTATATATTTATCCCACATTATATTCTTATATATTATATATAAATTATATTATTGCTATGAATCATAATGACATTACAATTATTATTTTTCAGAGAAATATAATTTCAAAAATTTGAAAATTGTTATTTAAGAGAAAATATGAAATAATAATTAAAATTGTTATTTTTCCTTAGTTGATGTTTAATATTGAAAATTTGTTACGATAAGAAACGATTTCTGAAAAATGTGTGCAAAAGGTCAGGAATCTCGACCTCATTTTCCTCGAAAATCTCCAATCGAGCCGCCAAGCTTTATTGACATCATTTTTCATCAACGTAATGGACGAAGGTAATGCAAAATATATGCAGTTTTCTATTTGCAAAATATGTTAAAAGTTTTATAATATTAACGTTTTAATTTAAAAAGAAACGTTTCTCTTAATTATGAATTTTAGTGATACGATCAAATATAAACAATTTATTTTAATAAAAATAAATCCTTTAATTAGCAAAATACAAATATTGAATTTATGATAATTTTAGTCATTTTCTAATGAAAAATTTATTTAGAAAATTTTTAATTAATCAGATCGCAGTACTATTTTACCAGTGGTCATGAACACTTGGAAAAACCAACAAATTCTGATGAAGAACAATTACCGTTTACTTTACCGCAAGGCAAACATTTGTTGGCATATTTCCATCGTTGGAAGACTAAGAAAACACTCACGTCTCAGAAGAAACGGAAATTTGGCTACAGAAGCTTTCAAAAGCCCAAAAGTATCCTGCCGAACTTGCAAGTAAACTTCCACTACAGATAATAAGAAACAATAATTATTTTTTTTTTTTTTTTTTTGTAAAATCTGTAGAAAAAATTTTAAAAATTAAAATTTTAAATTAATACAGGTAGAATTGGAATTAGAAAAAGAAGAAGAATGTAAAGATTCAAATAAGGCAACATCTATGATAGATTTAGATAAAAATTACTTTAAAGAATTGAAGGGACGTGGCTTAAGAAAACGATTTTCAACTCGCCAATACATTGACGATATAAGAGAAGTTTTAGCTACCAGACTTTTAGCAGGTCAAGAACGTGATGACTGTATACGAATCGATCAACAATTTGCCGAAGAGCAAAAAGTGTTAAACAATATAAAGGTATCAGGCTCCTTTAGTTTAGAAAGTTTTTAACGAAACTAGTAAACAAATTCATTCAATTAAAATTAATTAAATAGAGCAGATGTATTATTTTATAATTAAAAAAGTTTATAAATTAAAAAATATTGAAAAAACTTTTATTATTTTTGTATGTTCCATGAATCAGAAAGAGTGTCGGATGTACGCAAAATCCTTCGAAGAATTTTTATCCAAAGATCACGATGAGAGTATGAGGATTTTAAATGAAGCATCCGAGGCGGAAAAAAGAACAGGAGAAATGACTGCCGAAAAGAATCAACTTTCAAGTGCCTATGGGCAAGTCAGATTAGAGGTCTATTTTTGGGAAGAAGCATGGAGAATGGTTAAACAATGCCAAAAGTTTCTTTACCAGATTTCTCCAATTTCTTGGCGAGAGAAACACGATTGGATTAATAAAAATAAATATCCTTTCTTTAATTCAATTACAGGACAAGCTAAAGATATTTTTAGTTCCACTCAAGATATTGACGAATCGACATCAATATTATCGCTTATCGGTACTGAAAAAAAAAATCCTTTAATTTTAATTATTTATTTAATTATTATTCTGTTGAATGAGAATTATAAAATTTCTTTTAAAACAGTTTTAATAATTCAATGAATAATAATTGAAAACTCAATATAGAGAAAGTTAAGAGCTATTGAGAGAAGAGATACTTTTTATAAGAGTATTGTTTGGTATTATATACTTACAGATATGTTTGAACAAGATATAGAGAATGCAAAACCACCTGAACTCTACTTTGATGATCCACTTGATCTCATTCGTGTCTTCAGGACGATTGAATTGCAAAATCTTAATGCCCTGATTCATCTGGAATCATTAGCGGGACCGATGTCCGATATGGCTATGACCATAGCAGCGACTGAAGATCAAATTAAATCTGAGATCAATGAAATTGCCGAAGGAATCAAGGATCTTGAGGTAAATTGACAATTCCTTATTCAGGGGTAAATTAAAATAATTCCAATTGAACTGAAAAAAAAAATTTATTTAATTTAAATAATTACATCAACTAATTTACTTGAATCATTTTTCAATTAATAAAAACATAGTAATCTTTATTTGGTTTTTCTAAAACTATTTTTGAAATTCTATTTAAGAAATAAGATAACAAACTGTTTACTTTAAATTATGGGAGATTCCCCTATGGGGGGGAGGGGATTCCCCAATATTAAATTTCTAAATAAAGAACTGTTATTTTTTTTTCTCCATTCAGTCGTCAGTGAAAGTAAAATCAACAATATTTATTTTTAGGACTCTATTAAAGCGGCGGAAGATCGTGCAGCTAGTTTAGAACGATATGCAAATTACCTATTACATGGTGTTTTTCGTGACTTGGTATGTTCCGAGCAAGTTTTATATTTGCGTGTCTTCATTGAAGACGCATATGAGGCTTGTGTTGCGCCAAACGACGCTAATCTTGATAGTTTCACAATGATGCGGTCGATTGAGAAAACATATGAAGACTTAAGTCTTGAGCTAGACAGTTTGCCCCACAAGGTGGTTGTCGCTTGCGAGAAAAAGGGCTTCCGGGATGAAATGAAGCTTATGAAAGAAGCTGAGGATGCCACGAGAAAGGTAATTTTTCACAAAAGCGTTCTCTCTCTTGCCAAAAAAAAAAAGAAAGATCCTATTTTCTACAGCAAAAGAGAAACTTGACATTTTTATCATGTCTATGTGTATTAAAATATTTTAAGAAACTTTTCTTTATAAAAGAAAAATTCGAGAAAAAAGTCTCAATGATATAAATCTTGTGCCAAACCATTTACATTATTTAAATACATTTCTTACCTGTGTAAAGTATTTTATTTATTTTATACATTTATGTATTTTATTATTGTCATTTTTGTAAACAAACATAAAAGTAAGGTTAAGATTTCTGCTAGTACCGGAAATACTGTTTAATTGGAACTGGAACGATCGGAACGGATGGAATTCGATTGGAACCAATGGAATTTGATTGGGACAATAAACAGTAAATCTAACCTTATTTTTATGTTTTTCATTATAAATAACACTTCTTTCAGTAAAGAGTTTTATTTTTTGACCCTGAGTTGTGATAATTCCCCTATTTCTGTTTCAATTTAGTTTGAACTCATGCACCGACTGTTGGGAGCTTTAAAACGAGTTATGGAACCGCCAAAGCCAAAGAAACGACAATTGATGAGAAGATCGGCACCTAAACAACAAAAATCGAAAATTGATACTCCCTTACAACCACCAACAGAAGATGAGAAGCAATTTTTAAATTTCTTTACAAATTATTGCCCGCAAGATGATCACAATTCTTTTAGAGCTCAATTTTCAGACGATTTAAATCGTCTTCTGAAAAACAAACAGTGCAATGATTCGGGTATAATTGGAGACAACAAAGAGACCGAAGAGTGTTCGTTTTTCATTTGATTATCTATGTGTGTGTGTGTTTGTATGTAATTACAGTCAAATTTACGCTTCCAACGAAATAAGTGTGTCAATGACCTCTATGAGTGACGTTTAATCCCTACTCTTCGTATATAAAACCGAATTTCAAAGTAATGGTTGGCCCGTTTACACGACAAGTGACATATTTATGTTGATGCAGTGAAAATTCTAATCTTCAAAATCAATAAATTTAGATGAGCATTTGAGTCAGCGAAAGGTAATGAGAAAAATATAATGTATATTCCTATGACATTGTGCTTAATAAATTGACGAAAAGTAATATTTATTAATTAATTTATTTCACAGTTTTCATTATAATCTTCAAAGGGAAAGGAGGACGCTATAATGAGCGGTAAGTTGGTATGCTGAATATGTAGTTTCAAAAAATAAATACCTCCTAAAATTAAAAAAAAAAAAAAACTGAAACTTCTGCGCATCTCTTGCAAATTTTTCAATACGAAAATAGAAAAAATTACTTTTGAAATAGTAAAACTTTGGAAATAGTATTTTTATTTTATTTCCGGAGCAAAAGTCAGAAACTGACATATATTTTAGAATTTAGTTTGGAAGTGGTAAAAATTCGTTTTCAATTTTTTCTATACGATTATTATTGTTCTTCCGTGATTCTATGTATTCAAATAAAAAAAAAAAAAAAAAAGAATAGAAAAATGGCATGCAATATTTTTGTATGTATTCAAATACAATCGCTGCAATGATCCATCTATTGTGTGTTACATTAACCGGTGTATATAACTGAAGAAACGAAAGATCGCGTGCTCTATTGATAATATTCAGGGTTTTTAACCCACTTTCTGCGCCTGATCACTACTAGGAAGCTATTTAAACCAGGAAGTGTTAGATATTTTCATTTTCATCCTCTTTTAACTTTGGAAAATACAAGAGAAATTTCACAAATAATATTTTACGAACAAAATTAGATTTACTGCATATTAATATTTTATTATTATTCCACATGCTTCTGTTCTCGTTATATATAAATTAAAAATTTTGTCTCAGAGCTTAATAATTTTTTGTTTAAAAAAAAAAAAAAAAAAAATTTAATTTACTCAATTTTTTGAGTAAACTTTATTCTAAATCGTTTTTTTTCGTTTATTCGCTTTTCAATGCGTATAGCGCAAACTTGCTTGAATAGAACTTGTCTTTTGTCTTGTGCAGCTTTTATTTTCAGAAATTTACACACGTATAGTTATTGCTATTTGCATGTAAAGAATATATATATACGCCTTACATTCGCAACTCTCATAATGTGTACAGTCAAGCTTTGCTTATATTCTTGGAAAGTTTAAATATCAGGTGAAAGAGAATAAACACTTCTTCAAGAAACATTTTGTATTGTCTTCAAAGTTGAATATAAAGATTCGCTACAGTGATTTTTAATAGTCTTCGAAACGAGAGTTTATGGCCCTTCGACCTAAATCACATTGAATTTTGGGAAGATTAGGATTGCCGCAGGTAAAAACGAATCTCCAAATGGACAGGTGCTGACATTGCGAAATGGACCCGATTCTTCTTTTGGAGTCCTGATTTACTGTTCTCAAAAACTAGATTTTATCAAAAAAAAAAAAAAAAAAATACATTTTTGATTCAAACTATTTTCTTTAACACTAATTCATCTGTGCAAAATTATTATTTAATATTCCAAAATATTTCAGTTATTCAGTGAATTAAAAATTTACTATAACTATAGAAATTCTTCAACAGTTTTGAAAAAAACAAAATTTTCTTTAAATTCAAAATAAATATAATTTTAATTAAAAATTAAATGCACAAATGTTTTGTGCGACAAAAAAAAAAACGATAAGACTTGTCCAATAAATTTTTATGAATAAAAAGCACTGCTTTGTGAATTTTGTACCATTATAATAATTCTACAAGTTGAGAAGAAAAAAAAAAATAATAATAATACGAAAAAAGAGACCTGCATGGGGGCTTGAATTGTGAATACTGAAAGGGTCCATCGTTCAAAGTGAACAATATACTAAAGCCTATATATATATATATTACGCCCCTACATAAAACGAATATGTGTATATATACCAACATATAGGGCTATAGGCTTTTTTCCTTGACCCATCTTTCCCACTGAAAAGGTGATCTTTTACGGAAATTTAAATCTAAGTTACCAATTCCCACGATGTACTTCGGAAACCAGCTGCACACCCCCTGAAGTAGTTTGAGATGTGAGAAAAGTTTGCCATATGTTTATTTTGATCCCAAGTTAGCAAGTAATTCAAATATTCAACACAATAATTATTAAAATTATCCTTTTTAACCGCTAAATACTAATTTTTCTTTTAATTGTATGTAATAATAATAATAATAATAATAATAATTTTATTATATTTATTACATTCTCATCATATGTGTATGTATTAAATTTATTTTTTATTATTTTTATTTTTATATTAATAATAACAATTAGTAATTAGTAGTAAAACAATTAATTAATATATAATAATTTAATGGAAATAATGATAATATAGTAATAATAATAAAAATAATTATTTAAATTATAAACATTATTAACATTTTTTTTTAAAAAAAAAAGCATTTCATAAAAGCGCGCCTTTTCATGCCAATGAGAGAGCAGTAGTGGCGCAAGCGCAGCTACGTTCAGAACGTTCATTGCAATGTAGACACAGCTTTATGGTGCCATTCGTGAACTTCGTTAATTGTTAGGAATTTATTATATAGTTCTTTTATAAACAGTGAAAAAATATAGAATCATCTATTGAATATATTGAGTAATTATAAAAAGTGATTTTTAATAGTCTATTTTTGATAACTTGTGAGTAATTTGCATATTCGATTCAATTGTGCGCGTGAATTCTTTACGAGTGTAAAACATAACCTAATGTCGGATCGTTACATTGTTCTTTTTTGACTTTGTGAGTAATTTCCGTAATTTCTATATTCGATTCAATTGTGCGCGTGAATTCTTTTCGAGTGTAAAACATAACCTAAATTTGGATCACATATTGATCTTTTTTGATAACTGTAAGTAATTTACATATTCGGTTAAATTGTGCGCGGTAATTCTTTTCCAGTGTAAAAACCTAAGTTTGAAATTGTTCTTTTTTGATAACTTCGTGAGTAATTCGATTCAATTGTGCGTGCGTGAATTCTTTTCGAGTGTAAAACATATCCAAAGTTTGAAATTTGTTTGATCACATAGTTCTTTTTTTGATAATTTGTGAGTAATTTCCATTTTCAATTCAATTGTGCGCGTGAATTCTTTCGAATGCGAGACATAACCTAAGTTTGGACCACATTGTTCATGGCGAATATAAGAAGACATCCAGAATATTCTTCAGGTACATGTTAATACATACGATAGAAAAATAATTTTTTTAAAAATACCATAACCCCATAGCATTATTATCATTATTTTCCTAGCCCAAAATTTAATAAATTAGGCAGATCTTGTGTAAAGTTAATTTTTGCTTACTTTTAAAAAAACATCTTTTTCACCCGAGAATATAAGAAAGTTAAAATATAATTGTTCCTATAGACTTGGCACACTTTTGAGACAATAGAAAAAATAGGTGAAAAAATATTTCGTGTATTGTGCATAGTTTTCAAAAGAGGTTAAAAAAAATTGTATATTGTTAGCACATGGGAAAAAAGCAGTTAATTTGTTTAATTACACTTTATCAGTTGTTAAATATATATATGTAGACATTCAAAGTGAATGGATTACATATCTTACAATGTGCTCCGGATAACCTTAACCTACCCGTCACATAAATGTGTAAGTGAAGGTACTTTCCATTCGCGATTCACCGATCGGCAGATATGTATGAATCAATCCTTTTAATAAAAAAAAAACATGTGCCTATATATACTTATAGCTTATTATTATGTCTTTTCACAAGACTCAGAGTAGTCTTTTTAAATTCTTAATAAATTCTTCTGGCGGATTTTTTTTTTTTTTTTTAATAAATTATTAATAGGGACCTAGACTATAAAAATCACTTTCTTTTCATTTGACCCGAAAGTCTTGAATTTAGTTTCGTGTCATCACAAAAATTAAATTATTTCAAAATACCGATATTTCAATTTAGAATAATTTTTTCATGAATGAAATTAAAAAAAAAAAAAACAGAAAAAAAATAGTGAATGATTTAGTAATGTGTGAGTTTAAATAAGGATATACCTTCAACGGTACAAAATTGATGACTGTACAGAAAAGTCCAACTATGGACCAAAGTATTGAATACTAGTTACAAGTTACGTGATACGGTCGATCTCGAGCAATGAACAAGATCGCAGCAAATCCGTTACGTCCTCGACTTGTTTCTCTGTGCCTTGCACCGTAAAGTACCGTAAAGTACATACGTGCGTAACCAAGCGTTGACAAGATGATCCTGATAAAGGGTGTTCAGAAGAATCTGTAATTTGATGCTGTACGGTGTTCTTTCATAAATATAGTTAAGTCATTTATTCAATTTATGCATATACGTGACTCTAGATACTGGCGATATTATAATTTATCTTCTAAAATACAATTTTCCTTAGAATTTATTAAAAAAAAAATTTTCTCGTTTTATTTTTTCTAAAAAAAAAAAGACAATTATAATTGTATAAACAACAATTGTAATGCTAATTGTCTAATTGACAATTTCTGTTGAGTCCCTGACCATTGTTCATGGATCAAGCGTGGGCGTTAAATTATACTTTTTTTTAATGCACGTTATCTGATGAGCTAATCTTGTTTTTATTTTCTGCAAAATGACGTGGTGTTCTTTTGAATAATTAATAAAACTGTAAAGTGTTTTTTTTTTTTTTTGGAAATTATTATCATAATTCTCAAATTCTAAAATATAATAATGATAATATTATCAAACTTTTGGAATAAATTTTATTTTCTGAACCAGGTTGTGTGAGGAATTTTCTCTCCGCATTTATGAAACCTGAAACTTTTCCATATAATAATTTTAATCTAAAAAAAAAATAAATATATATCTGACAAAAATCGAACAATAAGATGTCACGGTGTGATAATCATTTTCACAGAATGAAAGGATATACTTGTGATATAGGAAGATACGTCTCCGATAAGAAAAATAATTATATTCTTCGCACTTTCACTTTCGACGTAGTCGTCTAGGCTTTCAAAAATCGTGAATATTCAATTTTTTTTTTGACACGAGATATAAAACACTTTCTTAATAATAATAATAATAATAGTAATAATAATAATAATAATTAAATCCGAACAATTATTTTAAAAAAAAATAATTACTATTATATATTTAAATGAATAATTTTATCTAAAATTATAAAAATTTTCGTTTAATATACAACAATAAAGTTAAATTAATTTTTATAATTAAAAATTAGTAATTTATTACAACAATAATAATAAAATAAAAATAACCGCAAAAAAAATACGAAAAGTAAAATAACAAACTTTCTCTCCCTCTCTCTTTTTCTTTAATATAAAAAAAAATCTCCTCAGGCACACTTTGATGTACTTTACTTCGCACTTTGAAAAAACATAAAAAAAATTGAACCTTTCGACTTGTTTAAAAATTCTACACCCAGATGAAAAATAAAATCGAGATAATTATTTATTTTAAATAAAGTTGTTTTAAATAAATTTTATTTGGGGGAAACAAATTTTTTTTATTTAAAACATAATAAATATTTATCTGAGATACTAAAAATTTTTTTTTTTTTAATTATAATTATAATAGGTTTTAAAACATTTCAGTGTATGGTTAAAATAAAAGTATAAAAATTTAATTATTAATTATTAATAATTAATAACTAATAATTAATAATTAAAAAATTAATGGATTGATATTTAAGTTTTCTAAAGTAATAAGGACACTGTAGATGTGAAACTGAGGTCAGTGACAGGAGGTCCTCGTATGTACATATATACATATAAACGTTCGTTGTCCGAACAAGTGTCCATATGGTTGAGACGA